AAGTCACTGTACAAACATGCTCTAACTGTGTCAAGTTCAAAGCATTGGAAAGTAATTTTAATCATCGATTGCTGAAATGTGAGTCATTGAGAGAAAATATTGCACTCCAAGATTAGCAGACAACATGCATATGTCATGGATCAATTGAACAAGCTTGTCTGAGTGTGCTGTACTTCTCAGAACATCAATGATGGCGTGACGTGGGACATTACACCTGGTGTATGGGTCTGGTTTTGAACCACGCCTAATGCTAGCGGAGAGAATGTAGAGCATGGCTGGTTCATTGTGAGGTACAGCAGCAGTAATCAATATTAAGCATGTTAGTCAACGATAGCGCATCTTCCCGAGGCAGGAGAGTTAACTGACTATAAAAGTCCAGTTTCCACCCTTGCCGAACTAGGCTGGTATTATGGAGTTACATTTTGGCTGGACTAACAGTCTATGCATAGTCCAATCAAAATCGCGCAACGAAATTGAAATCCGGTTCGTCAACTGTCGTGCTGATTTTGGTCAATTGCAGGATTTGCAAAGCATGTACACCGCCAACCCGTTGTCAACAGATATTTTCTTAATCTCTTCATGTTTCTAATCAAGGTGCTTGTGGGATTTGATGCACTTCACGATGTAAGACTCGTTTTATCACAATATAGATCTTGATTGTTGATCATATCATCTTGACTGGGCGCCGCCATTTTGTTTGAAAAAAATGCAAGTGATACAAGAGGTGGAATCTGATTGGTCCATAGGAGAGGCTTAAAAGGGACATACAGCTGTATTACACATTGTGTATTAGTACTATTACCAAAGCACTTGCTAATATACTGTGGGAACAAGTTTCAAGAACAATTATTGAAAGCTCTCAACATTCTTGGGCTTACTCAACAACATTGCGTTTAGAGATGATAGCTTTTGCACACTCGATGACCCATCAACCCTGTTGCTAGGCTGACGTCACATTGCATTGTTTCGCTGGTCATACTTGCAACAAAAATCAACACATTCCGTCACTTTGTGGTGCAGGGCCCCTTTCACAAGGCGATCGTTACTAAGTGCAATGACACATGTCTATATATATGGAATTATGGCTGACCTTAGCGCTATTATAACTTTGTGGAACGAACCCCTGAATTCTAAAGGTGTGCTGATGCATGGTATTAAATTAACACATGTCAACTTTTGATGTGTTTGAAGTATTATTCTGCTAAACTAAATTTAGTTGGATTATGCTGTGGATCACGTTGATATCTGCCTATTCACATGTGACAGTCAAGTTCTAAAAAAGTTTCAAATCGCAAGTAATAAATAAAATACTAACAAGCACCAGTGTAATACCAATTTTATGAAACGAGTGAATAGTTCTGGTATCTGAATAGCTTTCGTGGTGTAATGGATATAGCGTCTACCTAGAGAGCGCCTCTATGGTGTAGTGGATAGAGTGTCTACCCAGAGACTGCCTTTGTGGTGTAGTGGATAGAGCGTCTACCTGGAGACCACCTCCGTGGTGTAGTGGATAGAGCGTCTACCTGGAGACCACCTCCATGGTGTAGTGGATAGAGCGTCTACCTGGAGACCACCTCCGAGGTGTAGTGGATAGAGCGTCTACCTGGAGACCACCTCCGTGGTGTAGTGGATAGAGCGTCTACCTGGAGACCACCTCCGAGGTGTAGTGGATAGAGCGTCTACCCAGAGACTGCCTTTGTGGTGTAGTGGATAGAGCGTCTACCTGGAGACCACCTCCGTGGTGTAGTGGATAGAGCGTCTACCTGGAGACCACCTCCATGGTGTAGTGGATAGAGCGTCTACCTGGAGACCACCTCCGAGGTGTAGTGGATAGAGCGTCTACCTGGAGACCACCTCCGAGGTGTAGTGGATAGAGCGTCTACCTGGAGACCACCTCCGAGGTGTAGTGGATAGAGCGTCTACCTGGAGACCACCTCCGTGGTGTAGTGGATAGAGCGTCTACCTGGAGACCACCTCCGAGGTGTAGTGGATAGAGCGTCTACCTGGAGACCACCTCCGAGGTGTAGTGGATAGAGCGTCTACCTGGAGACCACCTCCGTGGTGTAGTGGATAGAGCGTCTGACCTTGAGAGGGGGAGGTTGGTGGTTCAATCCCTGTCATACCAAAAGATGTTGAAAGATGGTACTTGTGACCCTGCCTGGCGTTTCACATTAAGGGGAAAAACAAGGACTGGTCGGCTCGGAGTCTGTATCCAGGTTAAACTGCAGCATGGTAGCTCAGCCCAGCACTTTAAAACCTCCATGAGCCCAGACTGTCACATGCAGCCACACTTTGCTATGGAAGTGCAAAAAATTTGAATGCGACATTAAACCCCATTTGACCTCAGCTGTTATCTCCTGGAGATGCTGATTCGTTTTTTTACACAGACCTGTGTACTTCTGATATGGAACTTGTGCTGATTATTATCTATATGATTTGATGTGTAGGTGTCACCAGGTGTTTATTATAGTCTCCAAATTGTAAGACCGAGTTATGTCAGATCATACAGATAACAGACATTTATCTTCACTCCCATTCAGCCCAAATCTACAGTATACAATAAGAAGAGGAACAGGCTATTCTGCTTGGTTTTATTGTATCATAATGAAGTTGATGTTACAATACGATGTTGAAAATACCTCTGAATTTTGGAAAATAATTTGGAAATAAGTCCCAAATTTTAATCATAAGGCTAATTATTGTGTTATTTCTCCTTTAATGTCCTTATAAGTCCTTAAGTCCTTTAATATTCCAAGTCCAATAGTAGTCAGATACTGTATTCTAGTATTTTACTCATCAAGGAATACATTAATGTAGGGAGGCCCTTTCCCAGGTTGATTGTACACATTGTTTATTTTGTTACACAGCAGCTTATTTTGTTACACAGCAGCTTATTTGGTTACACAGCAGTTTATTTGGTTACATACTAGTATGAACAATGGAAAATAAAAAGATCCACCCACCCGCACTATATTTTCATAAACCTTTGCCTGAGAACCAGTTGTTTTATTTTTAAGCCTAATAACGATTTGTTTCCTTATAAATGTCAGCCATAGGCACTAAGTTTGGAATCCTATGATAAAATAACTCCCTGGATAGATTTTAAGAAACCATACATTCCTGAATATCCATCTGAAGATAAATAGTGAAAGTGTGCCTGTCTACAACCCAAGTTAGTCTGTTTATGGTATTGGGTAAAATATGAAATAGCAGCATTAGACCTCAAATCACTTACTGTTATGAGGAATACCTCGATAGTGTATGCTAGGAGCGAGAGTAACTCTCTTGTAACTGTAAAATGGAAGTGATAGAGGATAACCAGTCTCGATTATCCAATGAACTATTCCATTGGGCGTAAAAGGCAAAATAGAGGTGACAATTATATGAATGGATCACTGAAAATCAGTGATGACACGTGTTTGTGATAAGTGAGAACAATAAATTGCCCTGCTCTACTGGTAGAATCCATCAGTCAAACAATTTGCATAAAAAAAGATCACTTTTTCTTTTCTGTTTAGATTATGTCTTATAAATGATTTAATTTTGTATCATTTCTTATGTATGATGCATAAACTTGTATCATGTAATATCACACTCGTGAGTCATCTATGACAGCTGTGGGTGTAGGCTTGTATTGTGTAACTACCATATCATGGGACATCACTCACTGTTCACTTCTGACTCAGTGTGTTGACACTGGTATGTTGCAAGAGTTTCAGTGACCAGATCCACCGTGTCACATTACACATGAGACCTTGAGGATGTATGTCATGAAGTATTGGGGGCACGGGTGGCCCTGTCGTCTACCCGCCCACAACAGAAACTCCACAACTGCCCCTACTGCAATGGAAACCCCATAACCCCATAACTTAACTCGGGGGCATTTCGTCTTGTTATGGGAGGAGATCCTGACGTGATGCAATCCTGGTCTTTTAGTGCAAGCTCACTGAGATACCATGCTGCAGTTTGACATGAATACACCACTCAGACACAGTATACATTATATACCAACTCCAAGCCAACCGGGAGCACGGGTGGCCCAGTCGTCTAAGGCACCGCGATTCTCTGTGCAGAGTTGCGTCCCTTGGGCACGCCAGAAACCTATGATTGTGGGTTCGAATCCTGGTTCGCCCTGATTATGTTTCTAGGTTTGTCAGCACCATACCCATGCTTGTTGGTTTTCCCGAAGTGGTAAATGTCTGAGACCTGCATCTCTTCGGGCTTTCCACCCACATAAAGCTGACACGCTGCGATATAACTGTAATACAGTTAAAAGTGGCGTTAAATCCAACTCAATCACTCACTCTTAACTTAACTCACACCTCAACAGAAACTCCACAGCTACCTCTACTGCAACAGAAACCCCATAACTTAACTCACAACATAACAGAAACTCCAAAACTACCCCCAACACAACGCAAAGACTTCACCTACGCCTACTGCAACAAAAACTCCATAACTACACCCACTGCAACAGTTTTGCTGTAGGGTACATACTTCAAACATCAATTGACAATGAGTATCATACAGAATAACTTGGATTATCTGCCCCTTGTGAATGAATGCTGTAATTTCCTCGCCAAAAACTCTACTGTACTTGGGACAAATAATCTATAAATTGTCGTAGCTCTTTGGTTATTCTCTGATTACTTACCTGTATGCCAAGCTCTTACATACCAGGTAGACTCATCACGATATGGCTGAAATACTGCCGATGTGACGTAAAGCACTCACTCACTCACTCACTCACTCACTCACTCACTCACTCACTCACCAGGTAGAGCATGAAAATAATAATCTATTCTGAAGGACAGCCTTGGAATCTCTGAACCAAACTTAGTCTACAAGGTTGTCAAAAAGTAAAAACACTTTCTATCTGCTTTGCCTTATAGTTAGGAGCAATCCAGTCCCCAATAATTACAGTAAAAACTAAGACAGTGGTGTTTAATAGCAACTATATTCATTTGATAGTGTTTTCAATCTTCGATTCTCTGTTACAGCCCTTGCTTCCGACATTGTGTTCATCCCAGCCTCCGAACTGCCAGCATCGGCCAATCATGAAGCAGAAAGCAGGTCACCTGAGCAGTGCCGGGACTCCCACCCTGATATCCCTATGGCGGTGTCCCCCCAGATCAAGCGAGTCATCCTCGAGTCCCCTGTGGTCAGCAGTGGCGAGGAGGAGGTGTCATTTGATGAGGTACGTAAACTTGAACCGTATTTGACCAAAGATGCTTGGTTCATTTTCAGTGTGATGGTTCCATCGTTTTGTGTAAAATTTCTTTGGATAACAAACTTCTGGTTTATTGCATATAGCGATGTTTTGATGTAGATTCTTACAAGTTGTCGTTATATGGCTGAGAAAAGCTGATGCGATGTTAAATTTTCACTCACTCACTCAGTGTGCAGGTTAGCATTAGAAATTGGCTCTAGTCCTATAGTCCTTGCCAAACTGTCCAATAGTTATGGTATCATAAGGACTACCTGAAATTTGCCATTTTTTACGGGTTTTGCTATATGTTATCATTATAAGGACTAGTGGCCTAAAACAGTTTCTGTCGCTGCTGGTGTGAACGTCATTCATAAGGGGCTGTGCATGGTGCCCAGTGGCTGAAGGCTCTGCATTTAGCAAAGTTGTATCCCTTAGTTATATCAGGATCCACTGGATAGGTTCATATCCTAGATTCATCCTGATTATCACACACATTTAGCTTGTTGAAGACATTAAATGAATCATGTGTCCATATGTGAATCTTTGCGTATCCCCACAGACTGACGGAGTACCGGAGGAGTTGTCTGCCCGTGACAAGCTGCTGCAGATGCGGCAGTACATCGTGAAGGGCGTGCTGGAGAGTGAAAAGAGTTACCTCGCCATCCTCGAACTCCTCATCCATGTAAGTTCATGAACACGTGATAACTTTTACGTTTATATCATTATATATGGGGGGCGTATCCCGTACATCCATGTGTTCTTCCTAATATCTACTGGGGCGGTCCGGTAGCCTAGTGGTTAAAGCATTCGCTCGTCACGACAAAGACCCAGGTTCGATTCCTGCCATGGGTACAATGTGTGAAGCCCATTTCTGGTGTCCCCGCCGTGATATTGCTGGAATATTGCTAAAAGCTGCGTAAAACAAAAACTCACTCACTCACTCACTCATCATATATGGATGCCACTGTGTATTGCGATATCGATGAATCCATATCAATAAATTCTTATTGTCAATATTGTATCGATACAAATTTATGAATATTGATACTAAGTTAGTTTTTCACTGCCAGAGAACCATGCACATTTTTTAAAGATTTCCATGGTTCAGAGGGACAATGAGAAGGAGAACATTCAGTTTTCTACATTTATCAATCAGCCCAGTTCATATTTAGCATTAAATTAATAAATTGCAGGTCTGCTTAAGTAACTTCATCCACAGATTCAGAATAATGAATTTTTTTATCAATCAATATGTCAAGATACTTTTGAGTTGATTTTTTTCATTGAAAATTTCCAATGGATGACCACTCTTACAGGGGGAATTTCAGTACAAGAAATCTATGATATCTCCATTTTGTCTCCCAGTTAAAAATTGGGACTGCTTCATGTTTGTCCCATGAACAGAAAGGTGACTTTTTGCTGACATGATGGGATGTTCTTGTGTTTCAGTACAAGAGGTCACTGGAGGCGTCGAGTCAGACCTCGAAACCTGTGATCTCGGAGGAAGATAACAACGCCATCTTCTTCAACATTAAGAAACTGTATGCAATCCACCAGGAGTTCGTCAAGGAGCTCGAGCCAAAGGTCAACAACTGGTCACATGATCAGAAAATTGGCGAAATCTTCAAAATGATGGTTAGTAGATCTTAAGCTGTATTTGGGCTGGTCAGTTAGCCTAGTGGTTAAAGTGTTGTTTGTCATGCCGAACACTCAGGTTCGGTTCTCAGGGATGAAGTCTTGGTGTCCTTGGTGATTTGTGATAATACTGATATTGACTGCTACTTTTTACTGTATTCATTCATCACTGCGGATCTCATAAATATTTTGGCAATGGGGTAGCCTAGTGGTTAAAGCGTTTGCTTGTCGCACTGATGGTCCAGGTTCGATTCCCCACATGGGTACAATGTATGAAGCCCATTCCTGGTGTCCCCAACCTACTCATTCACTCACAACTTACCCGTGAAGATACGGGTTAGAATAGGTCTTCAGCAACCCATGCTTGCCATAAGAGGTGACAAACAGGATCGGTTGGTCAGGCTTGCTGACTTGGTTGATGCATGTTATCGTATCCCAATTGCATTGATCGATGATCATGATGTAAATCACTGGATTGTGTGGTCCAGACTTGATTATGTACAGACCGCTGTCAAATAGCTGGAGTATTGCCGAGTGCGGCGTTAAACAACAAACTAAAAAATACTCACAAATAAATGATGTCCTCATCCTTGTTAACATTTCTATACATTGTGCAGGATTAAAAGCAAGTTTACCCTAAGTGTAATCGAAACACGATTCAGAATTTGTTGCGCAAGTTAAGAAATATTTGGATGTTATCCTAATATGATCAACACCATGGAGAGCAATTACATCCACCTTGGTTCTAATATGTACATGTGACTTTGTCACTGTGACAGCAAGTAGTTGTTGGTGTTGGTGTTGCTGTTGGTGTTGGTGTAAGCGTCTTCAATTAACCACTGTTAATATGTACAGCACTGTTTAAACAGAACGTGGCATGTTTTGACATGCAAGTCAAGTATGGTTTTCTTGTGTTTTGGTTCACAGTGTCAATTGTGTTGTTAGGTTTATTTGTGATGAAGATTGTATGGATTTTGGTGCGGTAATGAAGTGCGTTTATTCAGTCCAGTTGGAGTTGTGGTAGAAACCTGGAGAGTTCTTTTCATAATTATCAAACTATCTCTTCATTTATCAATGTAAGGAGATTTTTTATTTTTTATATATTTAAAAAAAATTATTTTTATTATTATTATTATTATTATTATTATTATTATTATTATTATTATTAAGGAGATTTATTAGTTCTTTATTACAGTTTCAACCACCAGGTGTCTGACCTGTATAAAGAGGTTTATTAGTTCATTAGAATTCCAGAAATTGTGTTCTTCAAAATAAAGAAATTGACATCCATAGATTCTCTTCCTTATTATTACTGTTGTTTCTACCACCAGGTTCTGTGACCTGCTGTGTTAAAGAGATTTATTAGTTCGTTATTACTGTTTTTACCACCAGGTGTTCCAGTTCCCCGAGTTCGGCAAGTATATGAAGAACTACCAGGTGGCTGTGACCACCATACACAGGTGCTCCCAGGAAAACCCCCAATTCCAGGAGATCGCAGGGGTGAGTCAAGTTATTTTAAAAATACGAATACAAATGTGTCTTTTGGGACTTGCCTTTTGCAATGAAGAGAGATCTGGTTTCCTTTCATCCCCATTACATTACCGCTGCTTTCAGAAATCTGAAATCTGCCCCATAACTCTCACTCTCTGCACTCCTACTTTTAGTAGACTCTAAAATTCTGTCTCAATAAGTTCCTACTTTTAGTATACCCCAGAAATCTGTCTCTATATACTCCTACTTTTAGTATATACCCTAGAATTCTGTTTCAATATGTCCCTACTTTTAGTAGAGCCTATTTAGTGCTACTTTTAGTATACGCCCTAGAAATCTATTTCTATATACTCCTACTTTTAGTATATACCCTAGAATTCTGTCTCAATATGTTCCTCCTTGTAGTACAGCCCAGAAGTCTGTCTCTGTATACACCTACTTTTAGTATATACCCTATAAGTCTATTTCTATTAACTCCTACTTTTATATATACCCTATAAGTCTATTTCTATAAACTCCTACTTTTAGTATATACCCTATAAGTCTATTTCTATTAACTCCTACTTTTTGTATATACCCTATAAGTCTATTTCTATTAACTCCTACTTTTTGTAGACCCAAGAATTCTGTCTCAATATACTCCTACTTTTAGTAGAGCCCAGAATTCTGTCACCCGTGACTGCTACCTTTTATAGGGTATTCTTTCCTTATAGGGTATGAATTATGCAAACAGAATAATATCACTATGTAAATACTTTTCCTAACAAGGAAGTATTTGGGTTATATTGCGCTTGTTGTATAAAGGCTGTGTGGATACTTGCCCAGCTACCCCGTAGAGATTCCGGGTTAGAATAGATCCCCAGGAACCTTTGCTGGTCGTAAAAGGCGACCAAGTGGATCGGGTGGTCAGGCCCAGTGACTTGGTTGAAGGCATGTCAATAACAATCACTGGATTGTCTGGTCCACAACCCGATTATTAACAGGTTGCCATTATATAGCTGGAATATTGATAACTGTAGTTTTGAACAACAAACACACACACACAAATAATCAATTTCCCAATATTGCCTCTGGTGTGAAACCAGGAAAGATTTATTCCAAACGCAAGTGTTGATATCTTTTATGAATCCGATTAGTAGTGATTACACCTGATTACTGACCAGGGCCCACTTGCGAAAGCGATCTTAGCGCTAAGATGATCGTAACTCCCATACTTTAACATAGGCTTATGATAGTCTTAGCGCTAAGATCGCTTTGTGCAGGGTGGTTCAGGACACATGAAGGATGATTTTAGCCACTTGACAAATGGCAATCTTGTGTTCTGGCTTTATTTTCCTTAATTCCCCAACCACTTTGTATGTGTGAGGAAAATGTCATGCTAAGTGCAGGGAAGTGATTTAGTTTTAACAGATGGTTATGTGAGAGTATTATGTGTGTATTATTTGTAATTCATACAGTTCAATGCTTACAGACCTGATTTAAATATACTTCACATATTTAATACATGGTAACACAGAGGTAGGGAACTTCCTTGATGATAATAACAGCTGAAAAGCATTGAATCTTGCTTAACCAGTGCTTTATTTAGTCTGTTCTGACACATACATAATTTGAAATAAATACAAAACAGGTAATTAGTTTGCCAATAATACCATCCCTTAACAACAGATGTTTACAACCAAGGAAAAGTTTTAAGGAAATGTTACATGGTTGGTTCTCAATTGACCATTGTCTCCATCGACCACATAAGATTCTGTGTTAGAATTAGGTGAGGTGAGGTGAAATTGAGTTTAACGTCGTGTCCAAGATTATTGCACTTATATAGCGACGTGCATGCACGTGTATGTGTGTGTGTGGCTGCTTGTACTAGTCCGGACTGATGCCGATTTATAGTGCTAGCTCACTGAGATACCATGCCGCAGTTTAACATGAATACCCCACTCAGACACAGTATACTGACTCCGAGCCGACCAGTCCTTGTTTTAGCCCCTTAATGCCGAGCGCCAGACAGGGTAACAACAAGTACAATCTTTTAACGTCTTTTTGTATGACGCGGCCCGGGATCGAACCCTGGACCTTCCGCTCTCCGGGCGGACGCTCTACCACAAGACCACGGAGGCGGTCGTTAGAATTAGGCCCTAGCAACCTATGCTGGTCATAAGAAGTGGCTTAATGGATGAGGTGGTCAGGCTCTGTGACTTGGCTGATTGTGTGTCATCATGCCGCGACGACACTGGATTGTCTGGTCCACGACATCATTGCTAGCTTCTTATTAATTTTTATCATTGCTCATAAAATTCCAAACCAGTTTTCGAAATGTAAATGGTTCATGATACAATTCAAAGCAACTGTTTTCACTACTGACATAATGTTTGGAACATGATGTTATTGTCAGCTTCTAATTTGATCACTGCTCATAGAATTTCAAACCAGTTTTAGGCATGGCCACCATGGCGGCCATATTGGAATTGTAAATTTGTCTAAGTTTTTAACAACACAGACAACATGATTGCTTTACAGTTAAGCTTTGAATAAATCTGTTATTATATTTGAGTATAAACATTTCCTTGAAAAGCCTTCACAATCACCAAAATTGCTTGAAAAGCCTTGAATTTGTACAAAAAGACATATACCGCCACGGTAATTGTTTTTTAAAGTATCAAAATTATGGCTTTTATTTATTTTATTTGTTGGTTGTGAAAGTAAATCTTGTTGGTAAATTTGTGGTGTTCAAACTGCTTCTTAGGTCTCACGACTAATATGTTGTATGCTGGCTTGAAATAATGTATTGATACACTGAGGCCAATAACCCAAATAAAAAAGCCTTGAAAATAATGGTTGAAAGCCTTGAAATGCTGTGAAAAAGTCGTGAATTTTAGTGTCTCATATCTTTATGAACCTTGATAATGTTTGTTTTCATTTCAGAAAGTGACATTCGGTTCTCATGCCAAAGAAGTAACAAATCTGGAAGGTATGTCTATGATGTGTGGTGGAGGTATTGAAACTATGTGCCTGGAAACTGAAGTCAGTCACATAAACACAACATGTGGGATTATCCTGCACACAGAAGCACTTTGGTGTATTACCTACTGTCTATTCAGTTCATTGTCTACTGTCTATTCAGTTCATTGTCTACTGTCTATTATGTTCATTGTCTACTTACTATTCAGTTCATTTTCTACTGACTATTCAGTTCATTGTCTACTGTCTTCAGTTCATTGTCTACTGTCTATTCAGTTCATTGTCTACTATTTTGTTCATGGTATACTGGCAATTCAGTTCATTGTCTACTGTCTATTCAGTTCATTGTCTACTGTCTATTCAGTTCATTGTCTACTATTTTGTTCATGGTATACTCGCTATTCAGTTCATTGTCTACTGACTATTCAGTTCATTGTCTACTGTCTGTTCAGTTCATTGTCTACTGACTATTCAGTTCATTGTCTACTGACTATTCAGTTCATTGTCTATTAATTAAGCTCTAAATTATGTAGTTTGTTTTCTAGTTATATTTGGAATGTTAAGAATATGTTTTGGAACTTTTCTAATTAAAAACTTTAGAAACAAATCTACTATGTGTATGTTGGCATTGTATGTGTAACATATGACATGTATTCACCTATTCTGCATCTTCTACAGATGCCCTGTTCAAGCCTGTTCAGAGAGTGCAGAGGAACGCCCTGGTCCTCCATGTAAGTATACCAAAAGTGTGGTCCAGTATTGACAAAATTACCAATTAGTCCGACTTTGACGGAAACCTGCGTACCATTTGACCCGTGAAGATCCGGGTTAGAATAGTTCTTCAGCATCCCATGCTTGTTGTACGAGGGATGATCGGGTGGTCTGGATTGACTGGTCCAGACTCACTTATTTACAGACCACTGTCATATGGCTGGAATATTGCTGAGTGTGGCGTTAAACAACAAACTAACACAAAGTAGACACAGTTTATAGATAACAATTTCTTTAGTAACTGTGAGTGAGTGAGTATGGTTTTACGCCGCTTTTAGCAATATTCCAGCAATATCACGGCGGGGGACACCAGAAATGGGCTTCACACATTGTACCCATGTCAGGAATCGAACCCTGGTCTTCGACGTGACGAGCTAACGCTTTAACCACTAGGCTCCCCGACCGCCCCTTAGTAACAGTAGGTGACGGAAGGTGACGTTTCGGTATAGATCCTTATACTGTTGTCATGCAAGACTGTCCATAAATTGTTTCTACTTTGTCATCCGTCAACTTCTATGTAATGCCGATCAAACAATTCAACAAACAAAAGTTAGCATCTCTCTGTGTTGTTGCAGGACCTGATCAAGTACACCCCCGAGGACCACGAGGACCACCGGCTGCTGAGGAAGGCCCTCGATCTGTCCCAGTACAACCTGGAGGAGATCTCCTCCACCATACGGGAGAGTGGAGCCCTGGTCAGTGCATGGATTACCTCCCCTTTATCATTTGCGAGCTCCTTCCCAGCGCGTGACATCTTCGTTACACTCTTGGTAACATCGCTGCCACACTTTGGGCGCGGCCATTACAAGAATCTTGAAATTTGCCCTCGAACCCCAAATGTAGTCACGTTCATACTTTTGTTTATGTCTTTGGGAATGCCATCATAGTTCATTTTGAAAAGGTTTACGACTGACCATGTTTTCCAGATGAATTTACTTTGTTGTTTGTATAATCAGATTTATTCGAGATTGCAGACTAACGGAAAATCAACCTACTTCTCCCTTACATTCTTACTTTATCAATTACGTGAAAGTGTTAATGAAACAGAAATTCAAATTGACAAACAAAGAAAGTAATTTAGCAGAGGTAAGTGTATTCGGCGTCACGACACTCGTCACTTGTTTGTAAACAGTCAATCGGCTGCAAGTTCAACTCCAAGCATGGTTGTGGTCATCTATCACTGTGGGGAGTTGATGACTGGTGGCAGCAATAGTAAAGAGAGCTCCGCGAACGGGATATCGCTGTGAGGAGCTTGTATCATTTGTTCCCAGGGGACATAACTCTGTTTTTCAGTTGATTTTCCCATAGAAAAGAGTAACTGCAGCTACTCCTGGTATCCAAATGCCATGCTATGAGAAGACGCTCTGTGTGATTTCTTTTTTGTATGATCATGCTGTTTGAGTCTACAGTTTCACTGGCTAATCATTTCAGATTGTTTTTGTAGCCGTGCTAATTTTATATTTTTTTATAATTTTTAGTTTTTCAGTTGCATTTTACCCGGCTTGCATAGTTCACTGCTGTACAAAGAAATGATGGCAACTTGACCAGAATGTAGTGAAGTGGTTCTTATTCCCATACCAATTTGCTGTGTACTTGAACATAAAGTAGCATTTTGTGATCTCCTGTATGCTACAGTTTATGTACTGAAAAAAATATCCATGATCCCTTATGTTTTTTGTTCAGAATATGACGTAAGCTGGACAACAGGTAACAGTTATTGTGTGTGTTACAGCCTCAGGAGAAGCGCCACCTGGTGAAGAGTAGTTTCCTGGTGGAGCTGGTGTCGGGTCAACGCAAGGTGCGCTACATCTTCCTCTTCAGCGACGTCCTCGTCTGCACCAAGAAGGACAACAACAGGTCAGTCTCCATCCCTGCATTTATTGGACCCGTGAAGATTCCGGGGTACAATAGGTCTTCAGCAACCCATGCTTGCCGTAAAAGGCGACTATGCTTGTTGTAAGAGGCGACTAACAGGATTGGGTGGTCAGGCTCGCTGACTTGGTTGATGCATGTCATCGATCCCAATTGCATGGATCGATGCTCATGATATCAATCACTGAATTGTCTGGCCCAGACTCGATTATTTACAGACCGCCGTCATATAGCTGGAATATTGCTGAGTGCGGCGTTAAACAACAAACAAACAAACAAACCAACCCTGCATTTATTTATACGAAAGACTGTAAAATGTCAAATTGGTAGTAACAGTTTCCCAATTTATGTTACGGTATTATGATATTTTAATCCTACTTGTGAATACCCTACCTCTATTACCTCATTGACTAATTCCCATAATTTGGCTTGTCATATTTTATCATAATAAGATCTTCATGTTGTCAAACGAAGTCACCATCAGTTATCAACTAGCTGTGCAAGTATTAGTGTCTTGCTTCCCTTCCCTTTTGTGCATACACAACGCAGCAAAGGTGATTTGTATTTTAGTTGTGACAGGATCAACAAGAGAGAAAAGGGCGTTTCTTACCTTGGCTATAAGGCATAGAATGCAGTGTTAAGATAAGGGACTGGCCATTTGCTATCCTGAGGGGAAGGGCCTTGGGTTTTGTTTGGAGACTTGATACATTATCAGCTACAGCTGCAAAGCCAGACATAATTTTATACCCCAGACCTAAAAGTCGGGGGTATATAGTTATACCAAGGTTCCGTCCGTCCGTCTGTCCATCTGAAAACTTTGTCTGCGCGATTTCTCTTAAACTATTCAGTGGATTCATCTCAAACTTAGTACATATGATCTGTGTCATATGGAGGGGTGCAGTCAAAAGAAAACCTTAACCCTATCCTAGCTATTTAATTTGAAACTACTGACACACTAGGCGGGTCGGGGGTATTAGTGAGCCACGCTCACTTTTGCCCTTGTTTTATTCAAAACTGTAAGTCGAAATGATTTTTTTTGGAAAAAAACCAGAAGAATTTATTCCGTTCTTTGATTCCAGTTCTTTTTCTTGTCCAGTTTAACACTAAGTTTGGAGTGTGATGGTGTACAGTTTTGTGATGCTTATCAATGGGATTTTCTTCCTTTCCAGGAAAGCCTCGAACTTTGACGTGAAGTGGATCATACCTCTGTGTAGACTCACAATAGACACACACTTTGACTACCAAGGTTGGTACACTTTCTTCCATCTATCATCTATGCGTCTCTCCATCATTTCATATCCATTCTTCCATCTATCCATCTCATCCTTCATCTATCCATCTCATCCTTTATCTATTGATTTTTCTATCTCGCCATCTATCCCTCTCTGCATTGATCATCTCTATTCTCCATTCTTCCATCTATCCATTCTACCATTTATCTATTCTTCAACTCTCATCTCTCCATCCTTCATCAGTTCATCTGTCCATTCTTTCATCTATCCATTCTTCAACTCTCACCTATCCATCCTTCATCAGTTCATCTAGCCATTCTTCCATCTATCCATTCTTCAACTCTCACCTATCCATCCTTCATCAGTTCATCTAGCCATTCTTCCATCTATCCATTCTTCAACTCTCATCTATCCATCCTTCATCAGTTCATCTAGCCATTCTTCCATCTATCCATTCTTCCATCTATCCATCCTTCAACTCTCGATCTAACCATTCATCAGTCATCTATCCATTCTTCCATCTAGCCATTCTTCAACTCTCATCTATCCATCCTTCATCAGTTCATCTATCAATTCTTCCATCTATCTATTCTTCAACTCTCATCTATCCATCCTTCATCAGTTCATCTATCCATTCTTCCATCTATCTATTCTTCAACTCTCATCTATCCATCCTTCATCAGTTCATCTATCCATTCTTCCATCTATCCATTCTTCCATCTATCCATCCTTCAACTCTCCATCTAACCATTCATCAGTCATCTATCCATTCTTCCATCTATCCATTCTTCAACTCTCCATCTCTCAATCCTTCATCAGTCATCTATCCATTCTTCCATCTATCCATTCTTCATCAGTCATCTATCTATTCTTCCGTACTCCATCTATCCATCCTTCATCAGTCCATCTAGCCATTCTTCCATTTATCCATCCTTCCATCTATCCGTCTTTATGCCTCTCCATCCTTCTGTCATTTTAAACATCAAATACTGCCATTCTGAGTACACCAGTACTTATGTGAAGGTCCAAAGGCTGTGTCTTTCATTTGCCGAAAAATAACGGACCAAGCCAATGTATTATGTTGCCAAGTTTTAGGCCACGCCACGCCACGCCACGCCACGCCACGCCACAGCCTTGTAATTCTTATAGATTTCTTTTACAATTTTAGATGATTTGAAACACAGTCATAAGGAGAATATCGAGGCGATGAAGAAGAAGATTGGACAGCTGAAGTCTGAGCTGAGAGATGAAGTAAAGTACGAGGAGGCAAGAGTGGTGAGTCACTTCACATAGCACTTCACTCTGGGAGTCACTTCACAGAGCACTTCACTCTGAGAGTCACAGAATAGGGAACATGACCGGAATACGGGAGTGGCATCCTTATAAATATATATTTGTTTGAAATCTTTTTAGACTTTTTTCCCCAGTACTTATAGATATGTTCAGCTGAACAAAAACAACATCTGAAAAGCAGGGTATTTTTATTCTGGCAAATACAAACTTGTTGTGTGAGGAACAGAAAGGCCATCTGCTCACCAGGTTTGTTTGTAAAATAAATCTGTAACAAGAACAATCTCATTAAAGTCAGATCTAAGTTCTTGCTGCCGCTAAACAAAGATCCCATTACGGGTCACGTCAGAACGACCTTTTGCGAACTTTGAGCGACCACTGAAATAACTAACAAGAAGTCGACATAAGCCAATTAGAAAGCAGTTTTCTCGGGCTTTACAGCACTCGTTTCAACCTGGCGACTTCCATTTCAGACTGCGCTTGAAAAATATGTTGACACAGTTCTCGATTAAAATTTTGAAAAATGAACAAACAAACATTCTGGAATGTCTAACATATGGTTGATATTGTATGGCAGTACTTGCCACGTACTGTGCACAGAAGCGAGAGATAGAAGATAATTTTGACGTATTCAGTCGTACGGGCTGTAATTGTCATTTGGATTACACAGTGTTAATGTTTTCGAGGTTGCATGATTAGAAAACACATTCCGACTGTCACTTTCATGAACTGGTAAGCAGCGCTTTGATTGGTCGGATGAAAGGTCGTTCTGAGGGATGTCCTCAGATCTTTGTTTATCGATAGCCAGAACTAAGACCTGATTCTAATGAGAAAGGTCTGGCGTTTGGTATCAGTGTGCCAACATTGTCTCTTGATCACCCTGACCTGCTCAGTGGTCTGGTGGTAGAGCGTCTGCCCCCAGCTGTGTCACACCGAAAAATGTTAAAAGGTGGTACTTTTTGTTACCCTGCCTGGCGCTCATCATTAAAGGGATGACACAAGGACTTGTTGGCTTGGAGTGACTGAGTTGTGTTTAACGCCGCTTTTATTAGTATTCCAGTTATATCGCAGCATGTCAGCTTAATGTGGGAGGAAAGCCCGAAGTGATGCAGGTCTCAGACCTTTACCACTTCGGTGAAACCCAGGAGCACGGTATGGTGCTGACAAACCTAGAATCATCATTGGGGCGAACCGGGATTCAAACCCACAATCATAGGTTTCTGGCATGCCCAAGGGAGGCAACTCTGCACATTGAATCGCGCCGCCTTAGACGACTGGGCCACCCTGATCCTGGTTGGCTTGGAGTTGGTATATAATGTATACTGTGTCTGAGTGGTGTATTCATGTCAAACTGCAGCATGGCATCTTAGTGAGCTTGCACTTAAAGACAAGGATTGCATCATGACAGGATCTCCCCCCATAACAAGACGAAATGTTGTGATATCATTGAAATATTCCTCGCAGCTGCTTTGTATCCCCAAGCCTCATCTCATGTTGTTGTGTTTCAGTCGAAGCACTGGTCCATCAGTGGGCTAGCTGCCGCCCGCAGTGTGGACAAGCTGAAGAGGAAGATCCATGAACTGGTAGGTCCTCAGAGGGACCATGCGCAGGGCTCATGGAGTGTCAGTGTTAGTAGGTACTCAGAGGGACCACGCGCAGGGCCCATGGAGCGTCAGTGTTAGTAGGTACTCAGAGGGACCACGCGCAGGGCCCATGGAGTGTCAGTGTTAGTAGGTACTTAGAGGGACCACGGGCAGGGCCCATGGAGTGTCAGTGTTAGTAGGTACTCAGAGGGACCACGCGCAGGGCTCATGGAGTGTCAGTGTTAGTAGGTACTCAGAGGGACCACGCGCAGGGCCCATGGAGTGTCAGTGTTAGTAGGTACTTAGAGGGACCACGGGCAGGGCCCATGGAGTGTCAGTGTTAGTAGGTACTCAGAGGGACCACGGGCAGGGCCCATGGAGCGTCAGTGTTAGTAGGTACTCAGAGGGACCACGCGCAGGGCTCATGGAGTGTCAGTGTTAGTAGGTACTCAGAGGGACCACGCGCAGGGCCCATGAAGTGTCAGTGTTAGTAGGTACTCAGAGGGACCACGCGCAGGGCTCATGGAGCGTCAGTGTTAGTAGGCACTCAGAGGGACCACGCGCAGGGCCCATGGAGTGTCAGTGTTAGTAGGTACTCAGAGGGACCACGCGCAGGGCCCATGGAGTGTCAGTGTTAGTAGGTACTCAGAAGGACCACGCGCAGGGCTCATGGAGTGTCAGTGTTAGTAGGTACTCAGAGGGACCACGCGCAGGGCACATGGAGTGTCAGTGTTAGTAGGTACTCAGAGGGACCACGGGCAGGGCCCATGGAGTGTCAGTGTTAGTAGGTACTCAGAGGGACCACGCGCAGGGCCCATGGAGTGTCAGTGTTGGACATGCGCACTGGTTTTCCTAAGTTGTGAACATCAATTACTTGCATCACATAAGTGAGTGATTGATTATGGTTTTACGCCGCTTTTAGCAATATTACAGCAATATCACGGCGGGAGACACCAGAAATGGGCTTCACACATTGTACCCATGTCGGGAATCGAACCCGGGTCTTCGGCGTGATGATCGAACGCTCTAACCACTCGGCTACCCCACCACCCCTGCATCACATAAGGCTTTCATCCATCACTTGAGAGTTATTCCCTGAAAAGCCATATTTAACCCAACTTGTTCTGGACCCATCCACTCGTACACTTCCTCACTCACCCATCCACACCTACTTTTACTCACCCCCCTCCCTGCACCTATCTTCAAGTGGTGTAATGATACGATGATGTAATTTGCCTGCCAAGTACTGTCTCAGGATATGAATCATATTGCACCCATAGTATCGGGATACGTATCGTATTGCAGCACCAGCATATTGTTACGTCTCTACCATATACCCACCAACTCAAAAATAACAATCCACCCTCACAAAGTCACTCTAAGACTCACCCATTCATTCATTCACTCACTCACTCACTCACTCAGTCTAAAACTCACCCACCCACCCTCACTCACCCACTAAATCACCCATTCTCTCTCTCAATGAAAAAAATTAAAAAATTCACTCACTCACTGAGTCAATGAGTAAACACTAAGAAGACCGATGAAGATCCTGGGTAGAATAGGTCTTCAGCAACCCATGCTTGCCGTAAAAGGCGACTATGCTTGTCGCAAGAGTCAACTAACGTGATTGGGTGGTCAGGCTCGCTGACTTGGTTGATGCATGTCATCATATCCCAATTGCGTGGACCGATGCTCATGATGTCAATCACTGGATTGTCTGGCCCAGACTCGATTATTTACAGACCGCCGTCATATAGCTGGAATATTGCCGAGTGCGGCGTTAAACAACAAACAACAAACAAAACAAAACAAAAACTCACTCACCCACTCACCCACCCACTCACTCACCCACTCACTCTCTTCTAACTCATGTTGTAGGAGGCCCAGCTGATCCTGCAACTGCCCAAGTTGGCGGTCAAGTTGACCCACGAGGGGGGGAAGGTCCACACCCTGCTGATGACCACCGACTACGAGAGGGAAGAATGGCTGGAGACCTTGACCTCGCTCTGTAGAAAATGTACGTTCAGGGAGGAAAATGTTGGAATCAGCATCAGATTGTCAGGATAAATGACAAAAAGTCGTTGTTGTACCCCAATGTTAACAATTAAAGATTTAGGGGTGCCATGAAATAAACTAATACAGCCAGGACCCTAGGTCCTTGTTTCCTAATTTTGACCACTGGATAATATATCAGTGAATAGACAGGACCTAGTATTTGGGTCACATCAGGGCCCACTTGCACAGAGTGATCTTAGCGCTAAGATGATCGTAACTCCCATACTTTAACATAGGCTTACAATAGTCTTAGCGCTAAGATTTCTTTGTGCAAGTGGGCCCAGGGATTTATCATTGATTCCAATGAGTGACCATGGCCAGAAGATTGGTTAAAGAAATGTATTTTGATTAAAATTTGGGATTTATTTCAAAGTTATTAATTTCCAAAATTCAGACGCATTTTAACATTGTGTTTCAGCATTGCATTCACTGCAATAATATATAACTAAGCAGTAAAGCCTTCTCCTCTGGACCCGTGAAGATTCCGGGGTAGAATAGGTCTTCAGCAACCCATGCTTGCCGTAAAAGGCGACCATGCTTGTCTTAAAGGGGGCTAATGGGATCGGGTGGTCCGGGCGGACGTTCTACCACTAGACCACGGAGGCGGTCTTTTGATGCAGGACTGTGGGAAGGTCTCGATAAATCCTTGCAGTTTATTGATACGAATTTCCACAAGATAACAAGATTGGCATACAAATTACTGCAGCATTGATCTTGGCAGAACCCAAACCGTAGACCATTACATTCTTTGGTTCAGTGATATGAATGTCACCAGGAAAGGCTGTTTGTCTGATGCTGATGGTGTTCTCATGTAGGTGGGCACGATGACCCAAGTCTGAGCACATATGAAGTACAGGAACTGGTCAACACCTCAAAAGCCCTACCTCAGGTCAACAAGTTCGGCTCTGTACTTATGCAGAAAGGTGAGCAGAATGTGCTGTGGAATTACGTCTGTGAGTTGCCCTGTGTGTAATCTTGGTTTGTATTGGTCCACAGCAACCTATGCTGGTCTGTGGGTTGCCCTGTGTGTAATCTTGGTTTGAATTGGTCCACAGCAACCTATGCTGGTCTGTGAGTTGCCCTGTGTGTAATCTTGGTTTGAATTGGTCCACAGCAACCTATGCTGGTCTTTGAGTTGCCCTGTGTGTAATCTTGGTTTGAATTGGTCCGCAGCAATCTATGCTGGTCTGCTAGTTGCCCTGTGTGTAATCTTGGTTTGAATTGGTCCACAGCAATCTATGCTGGTCTATGAGTTGCCCTGTGTGTCATCTTGGTTTGTATTGGTCCACAGTAAACTATGCTGGTCTGTGAGTTGCCCTGTCTGTAATCTTGGTTTGAATTGGTCCACAGCAATCTATGTTGGTCTGTGAGTTGCCCTGTCTGTAATCTTGGTTTGAATTGGTCCACAGCAACCTATGCTGGTCTGTGAGTTGCCCTGTCTGTAATCTTGGTTTGAATTGGTCCACAGCAACCTATGCTGGTCTGTGAGTTGCCCTGTGTGTAATCTTGGTTTGAATTGGTCCACAGCAACCTATACTGGTCTGTGAGTTGCCCTGTGTGTAATCTTGGTTTGAATTGGTCCACAGCCACCTATGCTGGTCTGTGAGTTGCCCTGTGTGTAATCTTGGTTTGAATTGGTCCACAGCAATCTATGTTGGAAGTGACCCTGACTTGGTTTATGTGTGTCATCATATCTCAATTGCATGGATTGATGCGCATGATGTCAATCATTGGATTGTCTGGTCCAGACTCGATTATTTACAGACCGCCGTCATATTGTTGGAATATTGGTGAGTGCGGCGTTAAACAACAAACAAACAAGAAGTGACCAAATGGATCTGGTGGTCAAGGTGGTGACTTGAATATGTACCTCGTACCCCAACGGCATTCGTTGCTCACAATATCAATCACTGGATTGTCTGGCCCAGACTTGATTATTAACAGGCCTCCTATAGCTGGAATGATGCTGAGAGCAGTGTATAGCAACACACACACGTGTAAGTTTCATCACTGAATCTTGTAAGTCTAATGGCATTTCAGGTTTCAATCCCTTCTGAACAGTTTCGACCTATGTGAGACTAAGCTACATGTCAGCATGATGGCTGTATAACCATGTCGAACCCACTTACTGATAGCCTGCTTGATAAAGGCACGAGCACCTGTACAGAAACGTTGCATTGAAGGTTTAAAGAACTTGAAATCCATCAGTCAACTCTGATACTTCAGCTTCTATATGCCACCCAAAGATATTTTATCAACATAATTGTGACGTTTATCATTCTTCATGGCATTCAGGGGCGGTCGGGTAGCCTAGTGGTTAAAGCCTTTGCTTGTCACGCCGAAGACCCGGGTTCGAATCCCGACATGGGTATAATGTGTGAAGCCCATTTCTGGTGTCCACCGCCGTGATATTGCTGGAAAATTGCTAAAAACGGCGTAAAACGCTCATGGCATTCATGTAACATATTAAACTTGGTATGGATGTTTGAGGTTCACAAATATTTCACTTTAATTTTTTTTATACTTATTGTTGTTTTACCTCTGAACAATTTCTAGGGTCAATGACCTGAAAAACATACATGGTGAATGTTGGTAATGTCTGCAGAGGATATTTTGTCATTTACTTAATTCATGAATGACAACAGTGTCAGTTTTAGAAGGACACAGAGGTTTTTGTGTGAGGTCATGCTGAGGTTGTCACTCTGTGTTACAGATGAGGAGGTGTTGAACGGGACTCTGAACGTCACGGTCCACAAACTGAACGGCCTGGTGACTCCTTGTGGTGAGTGTTGCTAGGCAATACCTGTCTGCTTCAGTAATTGTTCCTCAAATCTTTTAGAAAGACCCAAAATGCAACACATCAATAAAACGTTCCCTGAATCAGTAAGACAGCCCCAAAAGACAGCAATCAGTCAAACGTTCCCCTAATCTAATCCGCCCCAAAAAACATTACATTCTTAAAATAATTCTGCGAAAATGTTTAAGAGCCTCAAAAGACAAGACATCAATAAAATGTTACCCGAATCAGTAAAACAGCCCTAAAAAAGACAGCACATCAATAAAACAATTCCCCGATTCAGTAAAATAGCCCTAAGAAACACAGCACATCAATACCACATCAATAAAACAATTCCCCGATTCAGTAAAATAGCCCTAAGACAGATGGCACATGAGTAAAACAATTCTCTGAATAAGAAAAACAGTCCTAAGAAACACAGCACTGCAATACCACATCAATAAAACAATGACCCGAACCAGTAAAACAGCCCTTAGAAAGATGGCACATTAATAAAACAATTCCCTGAGTCAGTAAAACAGCCCTTAGAAAGACGGCACATTAATAAAACAATTCCTTGAATCAGCAAAACTACCCCAAATGACAACACATCGATAAAACTAAATTTCTTCGGTTTCAGACACCTACTGTTGTGTAGAGATGGACTCGTACGATCATTTCTTCATGAAGGCACGGACCAACATCTGTCCGACATCGGCAGACCCGGCGTGGGATGAGGACTTCGAGCTGGAGCTGGACGGGAGTCAGACACTCCGCGTGCTTGTGTACAAGAAGGTTGACAACAAGTCGGACAGGCTGCTAGGGAGAGGAGCTCTTGAGGTGAGAACTTGTTCCATTTTGCCCACGGTAAATTGATGTGTTTACGGTCAGGAGCATTTTGTTGTTGTTCAGATCACCAGTTTCACTAGCGTTCTTTCATTATATTTTAGCATTGACTTACGACAGCCATCGTGCTACATAACTCGTATACTTAACATAGACTTAAGACAGCTGTTGCACTACATAAGTCATGTACTTTAGTATAGACTTCCAACAGTTGGAGTTGTACGTAACTTATTTACTGAAACATAGGTTTATGAAAGCCATCGTGCTACGTAACTCATGCTTGAACATAGACTTGCGACAGTCGTAGCACTACGTAACCATATACTTAAACATAGATTTACAGGAGTCATATAGCAAGAACTGCTTTGTAACATGGGGAACTGCTTTCATGTGCTGTACATGTTTCATCTGTTAAAAAGGCACTGTAGATAATGGGAACAATGACTACATTGTGGTTTTCATCTTGAAGTTAGATATTAGTCCGAACAACGATCATTGTGATGTGTCTTCTGATTTCAGCTGTGTAAATCCTGGCTCAAGACAAATTTTCAAGAGAAGACAATTTCCATGAATGACGTAAGTACCATTTTGTAAGCAAACTTTTTTTTACAAGTGTTTTAAACATATCAGTTAAGAAAATCTCAGCATTGCAAGATTGGAAAGGACTCAGGTGATCAACCTCTAAAACAAACAAATGAACGTCCATTTCTTAGCTGTCTGCTGAGTCTGTGTGTCATGTACGGGGGTCGGGTAGCCTAGTGGTTAAAGCGTTCGCTCGTCACGCCGAAGACCCGGGTTTCATTCCCGACATGGGTACAATGTGTAAAGCCCATTTCAGGTTTCCCCCGTTGTGATATTGCTGGAATATTGCTAAAAGCGGTGTAATACTCACTCACTCACTCATGTGGGGGACATGGAAGGCCCAGTTGTCTGAGGGCGCCTCAATTTGCTGTGCAGAGTTGCGTCCCTTGGCATGCCAGAAACCCACGATTGTGGGTTCGACTCTCGGTTCACACAGATTCTGTTTCTAGGTTTGTCAGCACCATACCCGTGCCCATGGTTTCACCAAAGTGGTATTAGTCTCAGACCTGCATCACTTCGGGCTTGCCTCTCACATTAAGAGGTCACTCCGTGATATAACTGGAATACTGTTATGTTAAAAGTGCCATTAAGCCCAAACTCACTCACTCACTCACTCATTCACTGCGTGTCCTGTTCCAGGTGTCGTTGGTGATATCGGTGCGTCACACCCCAGCTAACCGCACGATGCGTCGGACTCCCTCCCAGCAGAAGACGGGGGTGTTCGGGGTGAAGATCAGCACGTCGGCTCGCCGCGAGGGGAAGACCGTTCCCTCCATCGTGACAGCCTGCATACAGGAAGTGGAGAAACGAGGCCTGGACGAAACAGGCATTTACCGAGTGTCAGGGGTCACGTCCGAGGTGCAGAGGTTGAAGAAGGCATTTGATAAAAGTAAGAAGCGTGAGAAAGAAAATGTAAAGGATTACAATTACTTTTACATTATTGAATGTTAAAAGACTTCTGAATTTGATAAAATAGGAGCTATAAAAAAATTGCAATTTAGAACAAAATTACAATTTTGGAATCGTAGATAAACCCTGTCAGTTTTGGCGTCCGTCTATGGCCCTCGAGATGCCATGGTGGTAGAGTGGATTCTAAGCATCTATGTGTGTGAAAGGGAAGATGAAATGGGTATTGAATGGCCACAATGGCTGCTGAGGAAAGGAAGGGGCTGGGATGTTTCTTAAAAATATCGTCTGACCTAGGAAAAATAGAAAATCAGCAATTATTGCTCCAGCTTTGAATAACCTATATGAGGTTTTTTAAAACAAGTCTCGAAGTGTGGTGTGCAGTATGCGGGGATTAAGACGGGTTGTCATGGACACGATATATAGCAGTGGGCATAATGCAGTACTCTATTCTTCTATTTTAAAAGTGAGTTAGGGAATATTGGAACGGAGTTGTCCACCCGGCAGTCTGTCCTTCTGGCTGTCCGTCCGTCCTTCTGGCCATCCGTCCGTCCTTCTGGCCATCCGTCCGTCCATCTGGTTCTCAAAGGGGACAAATTTTCTCAAAAAACATATAAGTCAGAAAAATGAATTTTTACACACTGATGTTACTGGTCATGATCTCAAATGAGTTCGAAAATTGGTGTCGCGAATTTATTTTTTACAGAGTAACAAGTTAGCTTATCTAATAAATACTGTAAATCGTGAAATTAATGCATCTCCAAATGAATACGCCTGCAGACCCCTAGCCAAAAATGCGACTCAATATCAATGCAACTCCTCCCACCCCACCCCATCCCCAGTTGAATGCTACATAACCTTACCTTAATCCAATCACACACAAACAGCACCGCTTATTAGCACTGAGTAAAGCACTTCTGTAATAACAATTAATAGTGTTTTCCTAAAAACAACACCCAGTTTATATGTTTCTTCTGTTGACTGGCATTCAGGAAGTTCAAACGCAAGATTATTGAACCAACAACAGTTCACTGCTTGGTGTGGTCATTGACGCCTAGTTTGACACGAGTGGGTAGAACTCTTGACCCCAGCAGTGATAACTCACTGGATGCCTATTATGTAATTACTATTCTTAAAATGACATTGTTATGTACTTGTTACGACTGCTGCTCAATAGACCGTGTTTGTGTTTATGTTCAAGTTGGTATTTCGGCTATCCAATCTACCAAATCAAAATCACATAAACAAACAAACATCCACCATACCCAGCTCCCTTAGTTCTCCTCCCCAACCCCATCGGCATCTATTCAAAATCTCAAAATTCCCAAATTCTATATAAGCAACCCCTAAAGCCCCCTCTTTGGTTGCACACACCACTTTCGCCCCTTTCGGAAACACATTAAATGGCCTGGCCGGGTCCGTGTGCGAAATACGCATCAGTCGGAAAGCGTACGTTAAATCTCCAAAGTAAGTAAGTAAGTCTGCTATCCAAAGTGTGCAGTGAGGCTGTCTTATTGTTGATGGTCCTTTGGAGACATAAATGCGAAGTTAATTAATGCAAGCAAAGACCACTCGCATTTTTCGCATTTAATTCACTCTCTCGTTAATTTCAAGATTTACAGTACTGATCAAGACATTACTTTCCAGATGTGCGATTAGGGACCTGTCACGTGACAGACTGCGACATCCACGCCGTCACAGGCATGCTAAAGCTGTACTTCCGTGAGCTGCCGGAACCTCTCTTCACAGAGGCCAACTACACAAACTTCGTGGAGTCACTACGTGAGTACTGCTCTTCTGTACATGTGACAGATCCTGTGGGGACTCTAGGTTAGATTTGGTCCCCGGCAACATGTGAAGGTCGTAAGAGCTGACTAAATGGAACGATTGGTCAGCCACAGTTACCCTGTGTCATCATACCCAAGTCTAGATGAGATGATGCTCATGATATCAATCACTGGTTTGTCTGGTCTGGAACTTGTGTCTTTGTTCATTTTGACAGTATATTATGTATTCATTAGACCACACTTTTAATTTATCTTTCACAGATTTATTCCAAGATCAGTGAAAATACAAATAAGTAGCTATGTCTTATTTATTTATTTATTTATTTATTTATTTATTTATTTATTTATTTATTTATTTATTTATTTATTTCACCACCATGGAGTTAAAACTGCAGCTGTCTTCTTGAATCACTGAAAGTGATGTGGACATGGTTTATATTTAACTTAAGGGGATCTTTGAGTCCTTGAGGTTTGCTGAGAATTTCATTTTAGGGATATCCGAAATGTTTGAACTTTTAACTTTGAGTTTATGACAGTGACCTATTGACTCCCATGGTTAATTTGGAACACTGAATAGATGTATTTATTTGGTAATGTTTTAATGTGATCGCTGCCCTCCACTTGCAGGGTTATCGGACAAGGAAGCTAAGGAGAAGTGCATGCTGGGACTCCTCCACAACCTCCCCGACGCCAACTACTACACCATCGTCACCCTGCTGGAGCATCTAGTCAGGTAGCCAGCATTGGTCACCGTCATGTCACTTACCCAGCACTGTCGGGGGTTGATTGATCCCCACACTGAAGGAATTCTTAAATAGTGAAATATTTTGTTGTGGACATTACATGATGTCATAGAGGTAGATCCACGAAACCATGAGCAAATTACTTCGCTGTGACAAGTCAGTACAATAAGCAGGGATCTGCGACTTTTGGAAAACAGATAACTTGAGGAGCGGATGACACCTTTTTTCCTTATCAATTTAATCCTCACATCTGTTAGGGACAGACAATTAGATAGATCTTGGGAGGGAGTGCTGAAATTTTTCCAGCATTTTTTAAAATTGAGGGGTCCAAAATATCAAAATCCTCTCTCAGATAATATTACTGCCTACAACATACTACATTTAGTTTTTGGAAGGAGGGGGTCCACACACACACACACACACACACACACACCACACCACACCACACCACACCACACCACACCACACCACACCTTCTGGATCCACCTATGCTAGGCGTTAAACAGCTTTCACTCCGTCACTCTAGTCTGCTATCAAGTAGCTAAAAGCAGCATGAAAAATCACATTTTTCTGTCATTTCAGAGTTGCAAAGAATGTGAAGGAGAACAAGATGACCATACACAACCTGGCAACTGTCCTTGGTCCGACCTTGCTTGCCCCAGCAGTTAAAGACACAACCACCAACCCGCTAGAAATGATGTCCAAAACCACAGAACAGGTGATGCTTCAGTCAGCCATTGTCAACTACTTCCTGTCCCTTGCTGCTCAAGGTCGTAGTCTCAGAAGGTCAGCTCAGGTCTAGGTCAAGGTCAACAAAATGTCACAGGTCAAGGACATGACCTTTGGAACAAGATTTCTTTTTGTGAAATACATTTCTCAACAAGATAGAATTTTGTTCATTAAAACCTTTTTTGTGTTGTTTGTATTGAAAGGGTGTAGTGACATTCAAACAAAAGGTTTGACTCAGTGTACTCTGTAATATATCCGAACTTTCCTTCCATGTTGAGACCAAAGATCCATGAAACATTCCATCATTAACTTCCAACATTGCAACACAGTAGTGACCTTGTCAGAGATGTCGGGAACAATAGTGTCCACAATGACGCAAGCAACGAGATGTGGAAGTCGGTTACAGAGAGAAATCACAGATGTGAAGTGTCAGGACCTCAGCCTTGTGAACTACTGTTGGCCATGGTTCTGGGCAGATGTAACAAGAGATTTTAGTGTGTGGCACTTTCTTTATTTATCACTGAAGATGACACCATGAAGCTGATCTGGGGATCAGTCATGACCTCATGGGAGGTGTAGGATGTTGGAGTAGAGAAGTGTCATGATGTCATGAAGTGTTGGCTGTTGGAGAAGAGAAGTGTCATGACGTTGTGAGGTGTAGGATGTTGGAGAAGAGAACTGTCATGATGTCATGAGGTGTTGGCTGTCAGACAACAGATTGTCATGACGTGAGGTGTTGGATGTTTAAAAACAGATGTCGTGAGGTGTTGGATATCTGAAAAGAGAACTGTCATGATGTCATGAGGTGTTGGCTGTCAGACAACAGATTGTCATCACGTGATATGTTGGATGTTTAAAAACAGATGTCGTGAGGTGTTGGAGAAGAGAAGTGTCATGTCATTTCTGAGAATTTAAGTTCCATGACGACATGTGACATGCAAGATGACAGAGAACTGAAGTGCCATGACGTGTGACATGCAAGGTGACAGAGAACTGAAGTGCCATGACGTGTGACATGCAAGGTGACAGTACTGAAGTGCCATGACGTGTGACATGCAAGGTGACAGTACTGAAGTGTTAAAAGGAGACTGCAGAAGGTGGATGGAAGATGAGGAGGAGCTGGGAACATGGTCAGACGTCGCTTGCCTTTGCCTTGCTAATGAATGTCTACCTACCCACTATGAGTGAACATGGCATGCTTTTCATAAGCATGTCTTGCCTGGTCTGGATCTGGACAAGTTTTATAAGTGATGAAGTGCTTTCCTTAGTAGGGGTTAGACAATGTTCGAGGAGCGACGTACCATGTTTGTAATCACAAGTGCTTCAACGTGCTGACTGCAAGGATTTTAGACATTGAAGACCAAGACTTGTTTCGTGTGTATTCCACCAATAGGCTGTTTTGGTCTGATTGTGCAACAAGATTTAAAACGTTTTATGATGTATCTGTCCAGGAGTACGGAAATCGAAGCCTTTCGATATTGCTACAGAGGAAACAACGCTATGCCTTTCCGGACGTTGTTTAAGACTCCTGTATTTTCCAGATTGTTTTAATTTGCAAATGAGCTTGCTATTTATTTGCCTTGCATGCATTGAAGCTATTTCTATGACATTTGATTGTTACAGTGTTGATGTGGCGTGTTTGATTGGAAAAACTGCCATAGGGCAGATATGCTTGATCTGCCTCTAGTCTTGGACTGCTAGCCAAGTGGCTGTGTGTTGTTACCAGTGTGTCTTTAACAGGTTGCTATGGAGACAGTTATGTCTGGAACGTGTTACCATGGTTTCGTGTGCTGTCATGTCTGACATGTTACCATGGTTACATGTAGGAGTTATGCAACAGGTAACAATGTTTTTTTGTGTTGTTTTGTCATTGACATGTTACCATGGTAACAGATGTATGTATCAGGATACCAATTTTAGTCATTTCACCATAGTTTCTTGGTTTGGATGAAACAGACGGATTACTGTATTTTAAGAGGAAAAGATGATAATTTTATTTAACTGTCCTTTATTTAAATCTAGTTGCCGTGTACTTTTGTTGTAGTATTTTAAGATTATTTTGAAGTCGATCTTTTGATCATTCCACGAAGCTTGTACAAAATAAAACCTTCAGAAGATTATGTAGAATGAAATTCTAGTAGATTGTAAAAAGTTGTATATTCTTGCCCAGTTGTAAATACAGGAGAAAATAGTCCACCAGAGGGGTAATAACAGATTTTCTTGAATTTTGCAAACCTGAAATCCAATATGAAAGCTAGCAAGTGTTCCCAACACCCTACAGTTGTAAGCTTAGTTAGACTGTGTACATATTTACTCCAAGCCCCGAGTTCTCGAAACAAACTAAGTTCAAAAACTGACTTAAGTCTGAACTTCTAAAACAAAACTGAGTCAATTTTTTGCTCACACTGAGTTAGAAACCAGGCAAAACTTTGGTTAAAAAGTTAGCCTACATGGCAACTTAAGTTTTAATTCAGACAAAAATGGCATTTGCTAATAGACATAAGCAGAGATCGAAGAGACAGGTTATTTCTAGGGGCTTACCGATCGTGACAACCCACTGCAATACGTATTGGATGAAGATTTATTCCTTAGATTTAGGTTTGGGGTGAAAACAATTCTATACATCATGTCACTCGTCCAACAGCTGAGTTTTTGCTGATATTGATTTGAGAAATGCTTTTGAGTTAAAAACTCAGCTGATATTTTTTGCACTCTCAGTTTGAGATTTAAGTAAAATTTTATTTTTGTTTCGAAAAATCGGGGCCAGAACGACTATGTTAGTGGGTAGACATGCTAATTATGATGTCCACACTCGTGACAATTCTAGTTCTTGATCAAGATATTCAAGTGCCAATGTGTTTGTGAGAATGTTTTCTGTCACAAAGTGTTGTTTAATTATGAAACCAATGTGTCCTCTGGTTATGCTTCATGTGTGTTTAGTCAGCAGAATATTGATGTGAGTATTTAATGTACAGTGAAACAGGTGCCCTGCCTATCCCAGCATGACTTGCTGTGTGGACACTGTTGTACAGAGGGGTGTACATAGGTCCTTGTGTCTACATCGTTGCTGCTGTAACAATACAGGTTACTGTAACAATACAGGTTACTGTAGTTGTGTTGTTTTTTCCTGGCTGTAGATAGTCCTGAGATAGGTTCACTGAAGCCCTGATAATGTTCTGATAATGGATAGACTTACAAAAGCCCTGGTAATGGATAGATTTACTGAAGCCCTGATAATGGATAGATTTACGAAAGCCCTGATAATGGATAGATTTACGAAAGCCCTGATAATGGATAGATTTACGAAAGCCCTGATAATGGATACTTTTAAAAAAGCTCTGACAATGCAAGATTTACGAAAGCCCTGATAATGGATAGACTTACTAAAGCCCTGATAATGGATAGATTTACGAAAGCCCTGATAATGGATAGATTTACTAAAGCCCTGATAATGGATAGATTTACAAAAGTTCTGATAATGGATAGATTTACTAAAGCCCTGATAATGGATAGATTTACGAAAGCCCTGATAATGGATACTTTTAAAAAAGCTCTGACAATGCAAGATTTACGAAAGCCCTGATAATGGATAGACTTACTAAAGCCCTGATAATGGATAGATTTACGAAAGCCCTGATAATGGATAGATTTACTAAAGCCCTGATAATGGATAGATTTACAAAAGTTCTGATAATGGATAGATTTACTAAAGCCCTGATAATGGATAGATTCACTAAAGCCCAGATAATGGATGTTTCACTAAAGCCATGATAATGGATGTTTCTCTAAAGCCCTGATAATTGATAGATTTACAAAAGCCCTGACAAAAGATAGATTTACTGGGACCAAAGTCTTTACCAGGTAACACAAACTCAGGTATGGAAACATTGTTGATGTGTTACATGGGCAAATCGACCGTCGGAATCTACTTTCAAATTATCAAAACAGGTATACCGGATGAAGTTTATCAGAAGTGTTAAGAAGAGAAAATAGTTACTAAATTGCAAGTATACATCCAAAGACCGTTGGCCTGTCCCACACAGTGAATACCCTGAAAGTATGTTTTAGTTAAAAGTATTGCAGTTACCATTGTAAGTATGTTTATAGGTGTGTTTTTATGTCATGTATGGCGGCAGTTACAACATGGGTGATTTATATATCTCTTTCTGAGAGTCACGTTGATGTTGCTGTTGCTGTTGCTGTTGCTGTCCCCCATGTGTACACGACCAGGGGTGTAGAGATACACGGTCTGTGATCCTGTTGTTTTCTTGTTATTGTCAAGATATACCGAACAAAAATATTTAGGGATCATAAATATTTTTTGGGATATTTTTTATGAAATTGTCATCACTAATAAAGAATATGCCCCAAAATATTCATGATCCCTAACTGTTTTGTTTTGTATAAGATCATTTTTTAACTGATTAACTTGCACACTACGAGGGAATGAATTATGTTTATTTGAGAAACCACCTGAGCCATTCCAAAAGAGAAAGAATTATTTAGATTTTGTTTGAAACTCTATGTTCTGCCATGTTCATCAGTGTTTCATGTTTTAAGAATTTAGTCCAAGAATCTCAAATTGGTGCTTTCATAACCACAAAGTAAGAAACTGTACCAGTTCGTGAATTCTGTTCTTAACATCTTCACGCCATTTGAAATTGATGGAATTTACAGAACCAAACTATTCATGCAAATTTCCATCATAATTCCAACTTAACATCATGCTGTGATTCTGTCCAGTTTCCCCAACATTATTCACATCCTTCATCACACAATCATCTCCATGTCTGTAGCAATGTTGGGAGGAAGACTTGAAGTTACTTTAACCTTTTTCTTTAAATTTTTCGTTTCTTTTGGGCAATTCAGAAAGTGATTTTAGCCCTGTGAACATCACTTGTTTGAACACAGGGAGCGAGGTAGTACACTGGATTGTGTGTTCCCTGTTCCTGACTATGACCTGGGTTTGATTCTTAAGATGAGCAGTGATGCAGCTACAATAGGGTCACAAATTACAGCCCTATTCACTTGGATCATGGGGATGTTGGAGATTTTATAAGCGCTTCGGGTAGAGATGATTTCACACTGTTTCCATTCACACGCTTCATCAGTGGACGGAGGTGGCCGAGTAGTTAAGGTCCTCTCTCTTCACAATGACCTGGGTTTGAATCCCTACATATGAAGCCTGAATCCACTGCTTAATGTGGCCTGACTATTGATAAGGTGGTGTAAAAACAAACCTCACATTCTTCTGATTGTAAACACCTTCAACTTACCCTCAGATCAGTCTTGTTATTAGGGCAGGGACGATACACCAACTGTGCGATCCGATACGTATCACGATACCTTGTACACGATCCGATACGTATCACAATACCTTGTACACGATCCGATACGTATCACAATACCTTGTACACGATCCGATACGTATCACAATACCTTGTACACCATCCGATACGTATCACAATACCTTGTACACGATCCGATACGTATCACGATACCTTGGATACGATTCGATATGTATCACGATACCTTGTACACAATCCCATATGTAACTTGATACCTTGTACACGATCTGATACGTATCACGATCCAATATGTATCACGATACCTTGTACACGATCCGATACGTATCACGACACCTTGTACACGATCCGATACGTATCACGACACCTTGTACACGATCCGATACGTATCACGATACCTTGTACACGATCCGATACGTATCACGATACCTTGTACACGATCCGATACGTATCACGATACCTTGTACACGATCCGATATGTATCACAATACTTGCATGTTCTCTTGTCTGTGGTGCGTAAGCCATCTTCTTCATAGACAGGGTCAAATACCTGGCACTCTGATGATTTACAGTAGGCAGTGTCAAGTATGGCGCAATGGATGAAAATATTAACTTTTTCAGAACTTATTTTCACTATTAATTAGTGTTTGGTGTAACACCATTAAAGTAAACATTTAAGGTATGAATCGATATTTTTTACTTAGTGTGCGACTGTGATTGATACTTTTATCGGGAAGTTAAATATCGCGATGCATCGGTGTATCGTCCCATCTCTACTTGTTATCGACTTATTCTGTATTAGATTGACTTACCTCACTCACTCTGTATTAGCTTCGGTCCCTGTCGTCAGTATTGTTTGTATTCAAATTCTAATCATCTGTAATTTTTGTGTAAATATTCATTTGTGTAATCTCCAAGCTTTCATTGTGCATCCAGGTAAATATATGTAAATACAATATGGACAAGTAATTCACAAGTGCAATGGTTTTAATGAATACTGTGTGACATGAATTTGATTATGCAGGTAAAGGGCCAAAACTGCTGTAAAGCAGGGCCCTTACCATGCTTATTAAATTGTTGTCATACTGCATCCCTTTTTTTAAATAAACGTTTCATCCCACCTTTTATGTTTTTCAAGCTTCTGACTGAAAGCAACACTAGTCTTAACATGATTAATGAAGTTAAAGATAATTTCATATTTAATATTTGTCATTTTAATGCATTTCTGACATGGTTGAACGTGATTTAGCTTTAGTGATGTGTATACTGGTACATATTTTGCCAAAATATATTGGATTTTTTTAAAATCCTTTAGATAGATATTTATATTCATTATGATGATTAGTATATTACAGCTGAAGTGATTTCTGTACCTGCGTGTGTGTGTGTATGGTTTTATTTACACCTTACCAAGAGAGGATCATAACAGCCACTGTTGCTTTTGGTCAGAACAATCGTGTAGATATCAGGATAATTGTCACATATCGCTAACTATTCATGCTGAAGATATATGTAACATTAATTTAATATTTTGCAGAATGTGTTGATGTATGTACACTCGTTATTATTTTCAGTGGAAAATAAACTTCTTATTTCTGGTGATACAGTCATTGGTCACATTATGAAAGGAACAACCTTGTTCCTGCAATGGAAAATATGGTTCACCTGTGGTGAATTTGAGGCAGGTCTTGTTATAATAATTAAAGTGTGAGTTGGCCAATTGTGTGTTATCATGCCTAGGTGCCACAATATGGCGGGTGTATTGCTGGTCTGGATAACATAGAGGACTCCCTGCCAGACTACTAATGAAACACCTATGGGAATTCTGGGTTAGAAAAGGTCCCCATCAACCTATGCTGGTCTCCCTGTGGGGATTCCAGGTTAGAATAGGTCCCCATCAACCTATGCTGGTCTCCTCATGGGGATTACGGGTTAGAATAGGCCCCCATCAACCTATGCTGGTCTCCTCATGGGGGTTCTGGGTTAGAATAGGCCCCCATCAACCTATGCTGGTCTCCTCATGGGGGTTCTGGGTTAGAATAGGCCCCCAGCAACCTATGCTGGTCTCCTCATGGGGATTCCGGGTTAGAATAGGCCCCCAGCAACCTATGCTGGTTTGGTTATTTGTTTGATTGTTGTTTAACGCCGCACTCAGCAATATTCCAGCTATATGACAGTGGTCTGTAAGTAATCAAATCTGGACCAGACAATCCAGTGATTGACAACATGAGCATCGATCCACGCAATTGGGATCGATGACATGCATCAACCAAGTCAGGGAACCTGACCCCCCGATCCTGTTAGTCGCCTTTTACGGCAAGCATGGGTTGCTGAAGACCAATTCTACTCCGGATCTTCACGGGCCCCTATGCTGGTCTCCTCATGGGGATCCTGGGTAAGAATAGGTCCTCTGCAACCTATGCTGGTCTCCCTGTGGGAATTCTGGGTTAGAATAGGTCCCCAGCAACCTATGCTGGTCTCCCTGTGGGAATTCTGGGTTAGAATCGGTCCTCTGCAACCTATGCTGGTCTCCCTGTGGGAATTCTGGGTTAGAATAGGTCCCCAGCAACCTATGCTGTTCGTAAGAGGCGACTTAATGGATTGGATTGTCAGGTTTGGTTGATTGTATATCACTGTTCCCCGACGATGTGGACAGTTGCTCACAATATCACTCATTTGATTGTCTGGTCCAGATTTGATTATAAAACAAAAGCTGATATAGGTGGAAGATTGTTGAACGCAGCATTAAACAACAACAGGCAAATGTTAACACATGAGACCAGGAACATCAAAGCTTGTTTAAGGAAGCAATGCATATGATGGCAGCCTGCAAATAATCAAATCTGGACCAGATAGACTCGTGATATCACAGTAGGATGACATACATAAACATAATCAACCGATCTGTGAATATTTCCGGGTTAGAATAGGTCTTCAGCAACCCTGCTTGTCGTAAGTAGCAACAAAAAGGATCGGACGGTCAGGCTCGCTGACTTGGTTGAAATCACCCACCCTCTTTACAGTGCCCTATGCTAAAAGTAATCCAACAGGCAGGGCCAAGAGGTGTGAAAACAATTCAGCAGGCTAAAGGTAACAATACAATATTCTTAATGACAAAACAAAGTTGCTTGGGGAATCACATTTATTCCTGTGTAAAACAAGTCCAAAGACACCATGTTCCACCAGGGTCTTTGTTGTTCATGAGATTTGAGGAAAAATAACACAGAAGGTAAACACTTACACCATGTAGCTGATGTATGCGTGATGCCAGATCCATTCTATTATATTTGTAAAAGTTGTCAGGGTTGAGATTATTGTCCTAAATAAATCTCCTGAGCAATAAATGTTACAATTGACCATAATGAATCAGGCCCCGCTCACATCACCTTGTTACTCGAGTGAGTGAGTATGGTTTACGCTGCTTTTAGCAATATCACGACGGGGGACACCAGAAATGGGTTTCACACATTGTACCCATGTCAGGAATCAAACCCGGGTCTTTGGCGTGACGAGCGAACACTTTAACCACTAGGCCACCCGACCGCCCCTCTTGTTACTTGAAGAACAAACCATACACATACCGATAATCCTACATACATACATACTCGAGGTGTGGAAAATCATTACCCAACTTGACCGACTTGTTACGTTGGAAAAACAAAAGAATCAGCTTCAGTTGTACACAACCAACCTGAAAGTCAAAACCTTTAGTCAAAATTTGCCAATTCTTTTATAGCAATGGATGACTTCATTGACAATGTCAGGAAAACCATGGAGATACAAAAACTGACTCTTCAAAATAAAAATCGGCTCTAAAAAATCATTTAGGATAAAAATAATTTTTTCTCAATATGCTGGACAAGTGAAATTTTAAATGTTTACTTGTCCAGGAGCAAGTCCACAACTTTGCTATTTCCACACTGATAACATGAAATCATAATGTTGTCCCAGCGAAACCTCGCCTATATACAACAATGGACGTGTGATAAATAGTACACATGGTACAAGGAAAATGTGGCATACAATGTGACAAATACATCCAAATACGAGTGACTAGACATGGTCGAAGTACAAGTAGTGATAAGTTTCAAGAAACAATGGGACATATCTGGTTCACGTAGAACCTAAAGCTGAAATATGTTAAACCTTAATGCCACCATGGTAGCAATAGACTTACAAAGTCAGTAAACCCTCTCATGTGAGGGCATACAAAAATACAACACTAGCCTGGTATCCTGAACGAAAGCAGAACAAATACAGGACGGCTTCAGTTCCTTCTTGATGAAACTATCGGACACAATGTACTTTCTACACATGAAAAGGAACAATCGGTATAGAATGTAGACAAAAACAATAACTTGGAATGTTGGTGATCAGTCTACTAATTTATAATTTTCTAACATGTCTAATTATGACCGTAGCTAATCATATGCTGGATCATCAAGTTCATGTGAGCCTAAAATTATCTAGCTCAGTAATAAATGAGATTGAAAGAAGTATTATTAAAGAACAACTATTCATAAAGAACACAAATGCAGTCAGTTGAATTTGATATGGTACAGGGGGCACAGGTGGCCCAGTTGTCTAAGGCGCCCCTATTTGCTGTGCAGAGTTGCATCCCTTGGGCACGCCAGAAACCTATGATTGTGGGTTTGAATCCCGGTTCACCCCGATTATGTTTCTTGGTTTGTCAGCACCATACCCGTGCTCGTGGGTTTCACCAAAGTGGTAAACATCTGAGACCTGCATCACTTCGGGCTTTCCTCCTACATTAAGCGAACACACTGTGATATAACAGGAATACTGTTAAAAGCGGCATTAAACCCAACTCACTCTGATTTACTGAACATATCTGATGAATAATTCTACTCCTACAAAACATGAGAATAATAAATTTACCTGATGTTCATGACCAGGAAACAACAAGCTTTGAGCAATTATACAGACTAAACGGTCTTGTCTCCCTGCCAAAAAACAGTATGCTTTTTATTTTAATTCATTTAGAAAGCATTATACATGTTATGATAACGGCTTGCTAGTAGGGCTAGGACGGAAAACTCGGGTACTTGGGTGGGGTTGGTACTGAGTAGAACCCTGGTACCCACAGGACTATCCGGACCTGTGGTTTGTCTTGCTATATATTGTTAATGACAAAAATGATCTAGAACTCTATGGTTACACTACAAGTCACTAATGTTCACATTTCTGACTTTTATATGTATGAATACAGAAAAAACCAGTCAATTTCAGTGTATGCATGACCAGCTAGATCGTTTTATACATGTATCTAAATACATTTTGCCAGGGCTACGGTCAAACTGTTCCCAATCGGACATTTTGTACCCATCCCTTGAGAGCTACACGGGTAAGGTCAGGTGATAGGGCGGTGGTAGTCCATGCACCATGACTGTAATATATTTATTGTATGGATAGAACAACGATCTACATATGGATACAAAAGCAAGTCTAGCCAGCTCTAGTTAGCTCTATTCCCGCATGAAATCAGCACCGGGAATTTTTTTAATTTCAGAGTCGAGAAGGGTATTGTGTAATATAAGATTTCATGGACTAAATGTTCGTTTAGGTCGGTGGGTACCCAAGTAGTAAATTTCGACTTGACCCAGCCCTACTTGCTAGCTATCTCTCATGACAGTTCACTCAATCATGTTTAGTTTTACTAAGCTGCTTGTCTGTGCATCCAGTTACCATAGTAACATATTCCACTTATTTCGTAAACATGGTAAACTTACATCATCTGCATCTTTCAATGAATTAACAAACAAGTTTTGCCCTATATGTTTATTGGCTTAGATTGCAAATATATCCTCAGAACCAAAACATATCATATCAAAACATATCAAACAAACATACAACATGTACAATATATCAGTGATATATACAACTCATCTCTCTATATACATAAATACATACATCTTACCTTTCTAGAACCACAATACAGACAACTATGATGTTTTCAAAGCCGAGTACTTTGAAATTAAACGAGGGAGTGAGCAGGGTTGAATGATCTAAGCCACAGTCTAGCCATATCCTAGTGGGAGGTATCAGAAACTGATCCTGCAACTTGTCTATCACTTATACCACTTGGCTACCCGACCTCACCTTTTTAAAATGAGAATGCAGGGCTCGATTTAGCTATATAAAGCTATATAGTTCAACCTATTATTGTAAAGTGCAAAATAATATTTATTTCTACATTTCTACCAAGTGCATGTTAAAACAATTCAAATTTATGTCTGACTACCCTTTTTTTTCCATCAACAACGATCCTTGAACACAGTGAATACCTCTAAACTTTCAGTACCATACCACATCACTAATCCCTGTGTTATGTGTAATTTGTCATCCTTTTTGGGGCCTGACATCATCAAACTGTGGGTACTTCAAGATTGTGTACACATCCTATTACATTTTACAGTAACATTTATGTGAAATCATGACAGTCATCAGACATCTGAGATGTACTTATTCAGTTTATGCATATACGTTTCATCTTGATAAATTTATAGGACTAGAGTGTAACCTTATTTTGTCTGGGGCAACCTGGTTTTCATGTCAACACGCACCTGGTGCAAGTTAAATGAAGTTCCTTCAATCGAGCCCTGGAATGATATGATTTTTAATTAAGCATCAATAACTCACTGTAAGCATGAACATTTTGGTTCTTATTTTCAGCATATTTCCAAGACACAAGTCAGTCAATAATGAGTCCTGTGTAATGCCATGATGGCCACTGAGCATGCTGAGGAACCATAGTCGCTGGTAGATGAGTTAAATAAGGTGGCCCATACTGATGCATTATTTCTTACAAACAATGGGTGAGTGTGAGTGAGTAAGGTTTTACGCAGCTTTTAGCAATATTCCAGCAATATCACGGCGGGGGGACTCCAGAAATGGGCTTTACACATTGTACCCATGTAGGGAATCGAACCCGGGTCTTCGGCGTGACAAGTGAACGCTTTAACCACTAGGCTAACCGACCACCCCTACAAACAATGAATATCGAGGAACGTAAATATATTTCACACAATGATGATTGAAAGAGACATAACATGATAAGTTAGAGCTGTTTCCATGGAAACCTTTAGAACTGATATTGCAAATTGAATTTAGTCCATACAGTTAAAATAACTTTACACCGAAAGCAATATTTTTTTATATCCATTCTACCAAAACCAAAATAAACACTTACTCTTTGGTGCCACTATGATACATAATACAGTTTTCTTCAGTTTTCTACAGTTTTTTCTTGCTCAAAGTACTTTATTTTTTTACATTTTGTAACAGATATTTACTCATTAACTTGACAGGATCTGTCTATTGACCATGATAAAAGAAAGAACCACCTTGCTATAAATATTACCAAAAATTCACCAATCAGGGTATTGTTCTGATAGATTAGAATGGATAATATTTCTAGTCCCCCTTCATCTGTAATGCATGTTAACACATGGTTAATGTACTCAAGGCAGCAGTTGTGGGTTAGTGAGTGAGTTGCATGAACAGCTGCATTGAAGTTTTGTAGTGATATCACAGCATGTCAGATTGATAAGGGAGGAAAGCCTGAAGTGATGCAGTTTACCACTTTGATACAATCAATGAGAAAACCAAGAATAATAACCAGTTCAATCATAGGATTCTGACACACCAAAGGGAAGCAACTCTACACAGCAAACTGCCACCTTTAGAGATTAAGCCAACAGTTATGATAAACAGAAGGAAATACATAAAGATTTAAAGTTTAAATCTACATCTTGATCAAGGTAACACTTGTGGAAGAAAGGTTCTTTGATAGACAATAAAGAAGTTGTTATCAATAAAAGTATCTACATCTTTGTCATGTTCATCTTCAGCTGATTGTCCTTAAAATTTTAATACAGATCTTTACTTGTACAGGATTTTCTTCATTTGTTTGTTCTGGTTCTCCAGCCGAGGCAAAGCTCGGTCAGTTTTCACGTTAATGCGGTCAAGCTGGTCATTTTGGCGCCCAATCTCATCCCCCATATCCATTGCCAAGTTCTTCAGTCTCGCCATCCCATCACTCATCAATCCTGGAAGTAACAAGTGAATGTCATGATGAGTCTTCAACACAAGCAAAACAAGTTTCAAATAGACTTGAAGAAATGCACTGAGCATGCTGAGTGAGTGATTTGGTTTCGGTTTGTTTGTTGTTTAACGCCGTACTCAGCAACATTCCAGCTATATGATGGTGGTCTGTAAATAATCGAGTCTGGACCAGTAAATCCAGTGATTGACATCATGAGCATCGATCCACACATTTGGGATAAGATGACATGCATCAACCAAGACAGCAAGCCTGTCCAGCCGACCACCGGTTACTGCAAACATGGGTTGCTGAAGACCTACAACCTTAATTTTACAGATTTGTATGGGGATTATACAAACTCAAGTGAATCGTTACCATGGTTACAGCCCAAAGTGTACCCACCCAGGTTTTCATCCATCGCATCCTCCTGCGCACTGTTAGTAATCCTGTGAACCATCTGTTGTCTCGGCCCCCCGGTATTCCGAGCACCCGCCATGAAGCGACTGTCAATGTCATTGTCGTCATAGAAACCACTAGCATCCACTCCTTTTGATGAATAGGTATCCTGAGAGTCTCGGTAGGTATCGACTTTCGTTTTCAGTGGACTTGCTTTCGGTTCTGACTTTGTCAGGGGTAACGTGTTAGGGTCCTTGCTACCACTCCACCAATTCTTGATTCCACCGAATACACTTTTGATATTGTTGAGATGCTTCTGAGATGATGTGAGGGTACGATTGACGTCATCTGTTTTCTTTTCAATGTTGTTCAGCGTCTCTGCCTGACGAGACAGCTCCTGAAACAGAAGTCAGAAGGGTTAATATATGATAATGAGACAGGTGTGATACTAGACTTACACATTCATTCATTGCAGCTGTCAAGATTCTGATCTGATCTAGATCTTGAGCAACCCATGCTTGCCATAAAATGCGACTATGCTTGTCGTAAGAGGCGACTAACAGGATTGGATGGTCAGGCTCGCTGACTTGGTTGATGCATGTCATCGATCCCAATTGCATGGATCGATGCTCATGATGTCAATCACTGGATTGTCTGGTCCAGACTCGATCATTTACAGACCGCCGTCATATAGCTGGAATATTGCTGAGTGCGGCGTTAAACAACAAACAAACAACATGATCAGCGACAAGTCTGATCACTCTTAATAGTCTTAACTGACTCTGTAGACATTATGCTTTACTCCCAAAGATAATTCAACCCATGGATTATCTAGGTTATGAAACAAATGGCCTCTGTCAGGCAAATTGTTGCTGTTAAGTGTTATCAATCAGCAAAATACATGTCATGTCTGTAAAGGTATATAACCATAACTATAGTGAATAATCAGTTTAGTTTACAGTGATATAAACTAACAGTTTTAGCATGTTTAGCCCACTAGTCCTTATAATGATAACATATAGCAAAACCCTTAAACTATTGGGCAGTATGTCAAGGACTATAGGACTAGTGCCAATTTCTAACGCTGATTTACTGCCACAGGTACTGTAGTAAAAATTGTAACTGTTTTGTGTTATTATCGTTATCATGGTTATAGCTGAAACATTACAAAGTGAAATGAAAAGGCAAAAATAGAACCTTGACTTGAACCTAAGCCTAAGGATCGTGTGAGGGCATTTGATTGGAAAAGGGCACCTAACCCTAATGATCGTAAGGGGTGCTTGATCAGAATGGGGATGAAAGGGCTTATCTATCCTAACTAATGGCTACTGCTCAAGCACATCAAGGGAAACAATCAGGTTCTGATTCTGATCGCTGATAACAATTCTAAGCACAAATTATTGGTGATAGCACCAACTGACCCTGTGGTAAAGTGTTGGCGCATTAGATTAACGCATTACTCAATTAAAATCCAAACAAGTGTGCCAAACGGTAAAGTACATTACCGAAGCTACTAGGAGTGCTGAGTAGATGTCAGGTAGTGAGTGAGTGAGTATGGTTTTACGCTGCTTTTAGCAATATTCCAGCAACATCACGGCGGGGGACACCAGAAATAGGCTCCATACATCATGATACACATGTAAATTGTACCCATGTGAGAAATCGAATCTGGGTGTTCAGTGTGACGAGTGAACGCTTTAACCACTGGGCTACCCCACTGCACCAGATGTCTGATAGTAAAAGCGGAACATACTCAGCTACGATTTCGAAAGTACCTTGTCCATGACCATGATGACTCATTGCCACAATGCAGATATTTCCGTTATGTTTCAGAGCTATTAAAAGCTCTTAGTCTTACTATCCAAACCCCTTCATCAGTTAACCATCATAACACATAAGACAAATCTAATGAAAACAATAAAACAGCAACTATCAACCACTACCGAGTATTTGATGAACACAATCGGTCCAAACCAACCTCAGCAGTTTGTATTCCGGTATCTTCTGATTCGTAAATACTGGCGAGGGCTCGTCGTGTACTCTCAAGTTGTCGAGCTTCCGATTCATCAATCTGTCGCATTAATTGTTCTCGTCTTTCATTTGCATCATTGCTCGTGTTCTGCTGATTTGCTTTCCACGAAGATCCCCCAAAAGCCATGTCCCCATCATCGTCATCTTCGAAAGGGTTGGAACTCTTCTGGTACACAGCCATGTTGTTATACGAAGGTGAAGGACGATGTGTTGTATGTAAATCTTAACAAGGAAACGAAAGCGGAATGGAGTCATTTGCGCCACGAGGCATGGGAAATTTTGAATGGAAACTTTATATGCAAGCGAAAGGGCTTACGAATATGTAGACTGGACACTCTAACACAACATATCATTGTAAATATTAGATTTATTATTATCAAGTTATGCTTCTGTAAATATTTCACTGATCACCTTAAAAAAATAGTCAGAGATAAAAAATTGAGATTATTAACCAGTGTGTTTCTGTATCGCAAATATCATATCCGGAATATAAATATCTTATGCGTGCCTAGCAAGCATAATACATATATATTTTTCATTTTTAATATATACCACTCCAAAGAAGTAAGGACACCCGATTCCTTCTGATGACCATAGTTAATCTGTCACGTAATGTGAAATATCGGGTGTTCTTTTACTTCTTTAGATGGTGAAATGGTGTTTAACGTCGCGTCCAAGATTATTGCACTTATATAGCGACGTGAATGTACGTGTGTGTGTGTGTGTGTGTGTGTGTGTGGCTGCTTGTACTAGTCCGGACTGATGCCGATTTATAGGGCTAGCCCACTGAGATACCATGCCGCAGTTGAACATGAATACCCCACTCAGACACAGTATATTGACTCCGAGCCGACGAGTCATTTAATTGAAGGTCGCAAACCCCGAACACCTGACAAGATGATGCAGTTGAAATTCATATGATCCTCTTTCTCTGTGAACTGGGACGTTGGGATAGTTCAGTGGTTAAAGCGTTCGCTCGTCATACCGAAGGCCCGGGTTCAATTCACCACATGGGTAAAATGTATGAAGCCCATTTCTTGTCCCCCGCCGTGATAAGGTTGGAATATTGCTATAAAACATACTCACTCACTCATGTTAATCTCAGATGTGATATATATATATCTGACTATGGCGTAAAACAACATTGTATTACTTACTCCAGTCGTTTAAGGTGCTACGATTCGTTGTACAGAGTTGCGTCCCTTAGACTAGACAGGATCTGATGGTCGGGGTTTGAGTCCAAGAGTCGCCCTGATTATGGGGGAGCTGTGCAGATTTCCATAAAATTTCTAACGCTGATTTACTGCCTCAGGTACTATAGTAAAAATTGTAACTGTTTTGTGTTATTATCGTTATCATGGTTATAGCTGAAATATTACAAAGTGAAATGAAAAGGCAAATATAGACCCTTGACTTGAACCTAAGCCTAAGGATCGTGTGAGGGCATTTGATTGGAAAGGGGCACCTAACTCTTATGATCGTAAGGGATGCTGGATCACAAAGGGGATGAAAGGGCTAATCTATCCTAACTGATGGCTACTGCTCAAGCACATCAAGGGAAACAATCGGGTTCTGATTCTGATAACAAGCACTAATTATTGGTGATAGCATCAAATTGAAAATCCAGTTTGATTGAATACTAGTCAAATCGGTGTCTGGGCTTTTGAGTTTATTAAGTAAAGAATAATGTTTGAATTTTTTTTTTTTTAAATATAGAAAAAATAATGAAGGAACTAATAACCATATACTGTAAAGCCCCTGGGGATTCGGTACGAAAATAAACCTCCGGGCAAAAGAAAGTATACACTTGAAAATTGGATCTGACCAAACAATTACAAACATTATCAAAACGTTACTAGGCTGAAAACAGTCGCGGAATCACTGCAAACTTAATATCCCAAACATAACTGTGATACCCATATCAAATACATCACCATCGTATACTCATTTCATGTTTGTTTCATTTTAATCACCATCAAACAAAGGTGTATCCTTTCTGTTGCCAGGCAGTTTAGGCCCCCTGCAACCAATGGTTGTCGGAAGAAGCTCTAAATGGACAAGGTGAGGTGAGGTGAAATTGGGTTTAACGTCGCGTCCAAGATTATTGCACTTATATAGCGACGTGCATGCACGTGTATGTGTGTGTGGCTGCTTGTACTAGTCCGGACTTATGCCGATTTATAGTGCTAGCTCACTGAGATATCATGCCTCAGTTTAACATGAATACCCCACTCAGACACAGTATACTGACTCCGAGCCGACCAGTCCTTGTTTTAGCCCCTTAATGCCGAGCGCCAGACAGGGTAACAACAAGTACAATCTTTTAACGTCTTTTTGTATGACGCGGCCCGGGATCGAACCCTGGACCTTCCGCTCTCCGGGCGGACGCTCTACCACAAGACCACGGAGGCGGTAAATGGACCAGGTGGTTAGGCTCGCTGACTTGGTTGACTGCATGGCATCGTATTCCACTTGCGTGGATCTATGTGCATGTCAATCACTTGATTGTCTGGTCCAGACTCGATTATTTTCAGAAGTCTTCATACAACTGGAATATAGTTGAATGCGGCGTTAAACAACAAACATACATAACACAGCGCTTTTTTTGTTTAAAATTCTTTTATTGGATTATCTTTGCATAATTGTGGATATTCTCATCCATACAAGAAAGAAATTGTGTTAAAAAAAGTATTTAATCTGAAAACAGACATTTTGTACGGAACTTCTGGTAGGTAGTGAGGTGGTTCCTTGTCGCGGGATACTTGTGAGATGGCCCCTGGATTGTATGCGGTAGCGTTCATGGCGACAACAGAAGGACATTTGTGGTTGTATCCCCGAGGCTGATCCAGATAGGTGGGGGAAAATCCCGACCCCTCCCCTTTAAAAATGCTGGATCCACCCTTGGAATACAGGAACTACATAAATAAAATAAGTACTTAAAATTTTAGGTAATACTGTCAGGAAATGAGATTCTGAATGGTGGGATAATACTTTTCTGGGCACTACGACTATCACGTTACACCTGTGGAACGATTCTTCGAGCGATACGATGGTATCAGTAGGTTATACGTATCGATACAACACTAGTGCCAAATTCGCCGTATTATACGTCCTGCTCCAGTAAGTAAATCTGTCAATAATCTTTGTAAGCGCACCCTACTACGTATACTAAGACCGAAAAGGTAATAACAGTCTGTATTTCATGAGTATATTAGATATATTTACAGAACACGGAATCTTAGAAGTGCTATATAATTACCTGGTTTTGAACTTTTATAGAAACATTTTTAAGGTTTAATGACGTTTGAGCTAAGATTTTTTCAATGCCGCTCTATCCCTGAATATAAATTTAACTCGTTTTTATGGTTTTAATAAGCGTCCCAGTTTGTCAAATTGTGGGCCAAGTGCTCTTATTAAGGCGAATACGACCAATATATGATGGACATGTCAAATGGTGTGAACATAAAGTATAAAATGTTATTTTCTGCTTGTAAGTAGAAGCGTCTCAAACGACGTTCTTAATTAATTGTCTCAAATTGACTGAGTATGTTTCAGTTGGTCTATAATTCATTTAATATTTCTTTAACATGTCAAGTGTCGAATTTACATGAATGGTGTTGTGTCACATATCGCGACTTTACAATTTGACTTTACACGCTAGGTGTCCTGAATAAATGTGTTGTTATCTGAGAGAGAAACAAATACACCTTCCGAAACAATAACCGAAACATTACCTTTGTCTCCAACAGTCCAAGGCTTCCATTACCGTCTACCTTGGGCCTAGGTGAGCTTATGAAAAATGAACAAAGTTTAATTTGAAAGATAAACAGATTTAATTAGCGCAAGCACAAAACCAGAAGAGCCAAATATATTGTCCAAAAAATGTCTAAAATGTAAAGAGCACTGTGATCTAAATAAGACAATGTCACAAGATGTCACTGATTCAAGCGTCCATCTTGCGAGCACGGAACACACTCCTGAAGAAGCCGGTCACACGAGATCTGATGGTTCTCACAGTGGACTGGGGCTGTGTGACTTCCTCGTGGAGGTCAATCTCTTCGAAGTGGGAGGCATCAGGGAGGGTGGGGCTGGTGAGGGACACGGAGGTGGACACGGGGGTAGGGGTGTGGGAGGCGGGCAGTTCAGACAGGGGGTCAAGGATGGTGAAGTATCGGCACGTAGCACGCTGATAGGAAGGTGGAGAAGAATTGATAGACAGAGATAGAAAGAGGTGGAAGTGTATGTTACAAGCAGCATTGGATGAGTGTTATGCTGTTAGAGAAATGTGAGAGGAAGACCCAATGAACAGAACTGCCTGTTGTCACTAGCTATCGATAGTACTTATTACCTACCATGGTGTCAAGAATACAAATCTCAGGCAAAAGTTGTGTTAAAAATACATGCACTTAGATGAAATAAAATAGTCAACAAACATGATGTTATTATTCCCGATTCAACCTACTTGGCGGGGAGGGGCCCAGATATCAAAGTTCAGGGGGAATCTGATGATCAGATCTACAGGTGCAACAGCAAAGAAGAAAGACATATAAAAAAGTTGTTTTTTTAAATATCCGAAATTTAGCTTTCAAAACATGCTGTAAATAACGCCGTGAGTGGTGATTTAGTAATGTGTAAAAAATGGCGACATTTACGATGTACCTAATTTTCAGAGGTCATTTTCAGTACTTTTGCTTGGCCTCTGTGTGTGTGATGTATTTTGAATTTTATTCGACTTCAAAGTGGGGGTTGAAGAGGAGGGACATATATGTCCCTCTGGCATTCAGGGGGTTATTTGATCTTTTTTGTTTTCAAAATTTCGCTCGCGAATACTTCGCGGATGATCACTAGCAGTGCTATGCATGGGAACGTTCAATGCTTTCATTAAACAAAGTCTGAGAAAACCAAAACGGCAACAGCTCCAGCTAAAAAAACTACAAAACACAATCGAAATGTTTTTGAAACTAAACAAATCTGTTCGAGTTGGGCTACTATCCATTGATTAAAACAAAGAAATAAGGGTATAATGAGACGAAATGTCCGAATCAATGAGACCTAGATACCTTTATCGTACTGGTTCATATTAGCGTAGGTAGACATGATCCCAATACAACGTAGACAAGTGATGAATACTGAGTGTGACAAGTTCAGTGACAGCAATGGCGATGACCGTTTAGATCAAGAGTGAATCGTCGTCAAGGCAACGTCATGAATCTCGCGAGAAAGTAGTAGAATCTCGTAGCCGTCCAGATGAAACACTCTCAACCCTTTGAGCAGATGGAGATATCAAACCTGACACATGTCGCATTTATGTACGAACACCAGCATTTATTACTCAAAATAAACTTTATACGACCCCCTTGTCAAAGGGGGGCTACTCTAATCCTGTGAGATCGCCGAATGAAGTTACGCCCCCTCGATGTTTCGCAAATGTTGAAAGAGTTTCGACCCCTCCCCTTTAAAAATGCTGGATCCACCCTTGGAATACAGGAACTACATAAATAAAATTAGTACTTAAAATTTTAGGTAATACCCTCAGGAAATGAGATTCTGAATGGTAGGATAATACTTTTCTGGGCACTACGACTATCACGTTACACCTGTGGAACGATTCTTCGAGCGATACGATGGTATCAGTAGGTTATACGTATCGATACAACACTAGTGCCAAATTCGCCATATTATACGTCCTGCTCCAGTTAGTAAATCTGTAAATAATCTTTGTAAGCGCACCCTACTAAGACCGAAAAGGTAATAACAGTCTGTATTTCATGAGTATATTAGATATATTTACAGAACACGGAATCTTAGAAGGGCTATATAATTACTTGGTTTTAAACTATTATAGAAACATTTTTAAGGTTTAATGACGTTTGAGCTAAGATTTTTTCAATGCCGCTCTATCCCTGAATATAAATTTAACTCGTTTTTATGGTTTTAATAAGCGTCCCAGTTTGTCAAATTGCCGGCCAAGTGCTCTAATTAAGGCGAATACGGCCAATATATGGTTGACATGTCAAATGGTATGAACATAAAGTATAAAATGTTATTTTCTGCTTGTAAGTAGAAGCGTCTCAAACGACGTTCTTAATTAATTGTCTCAAATCGACTGAGTATGTTTCAGTTGGTCTATAATTCATTTAATATTTCTTGTGTCGAATTTACATGTATGGTGTTGTGTCTTATATCGCGACTTTACAATTTGACTTTACACGCTAGGTGTCCTGAATCAATGTGTTGTTATCTGAGAGAGAAACAAATACACCTTCCGAAACAATAACCGAAACATTACCTTTGTCTCCAACAGTCCGAGGCTTCCATTACCGTCTACCTTGGGCCTAGGTGAGCTTATGAAAAATGAACAAAGGTTAATTTGATAGATAAACAGATTTAATTAGCGCAAGCACAAAACCAGAAGAGCCAAATATATTGTCCAAAAAATGTCTAAAATATAAAGAGCACTGTGATCTAAATAAGACAATGTCACAAGATGTCACTGATTCAAGCGTCCATCTTGCGAGCACGGAACACACTCCTGAAGAAGCCGGTCACACGAGATCTGATGGTTCTCACAGTGGACTGGGGCTGTGTGACTTCCTCGTGGAGGTCAATCTCTTCGAAGTGGGAGGCATCAGGGAGGGTGGGGCTGGTGAGGGACACGGAGGTGGACACGGGGGTAGGGGTGTGGGAGGCGGGCAGTTCAGACAGGGGGTCAAGGATGGTGAAGTATCGGCACGTAGCACGCTGATAGGAAGGTGGAGAAGTATTTATAGACAGAGATAGAAAGTGGTGGACGTGTATATTACAAGCAGCATTGGATGAGTATTGTGCTGTTAGGGAAATGTGAGAGGAAGACACAATGAACAGAACTGCCTGGTGTCACTAGCTATCGATAGTACTTATTACGTATGTCAAGAATACAAATCTCAGGCAAACATTGTGTTAAAAATACATGCACTTAGATGAAATAAAATAGTCAACAAACATGATGTTATTATTCCCGATTCAACCTACTTGGCGGGGAGGGGCCCAGATTTCAAAGTTCAGGGGGAATCTGATGATCAGATCTACAGGTGCAACAGCAAAGAAGAAAGACATATAAAAAAGTTATTTTTTAAATATCCGAAATTTAGCTTTCAAAACATGCTGTAAATAACGCCGTGAGTGGTGATTTAGTAATGTGTAAAAAATGGCGACATTTACGATGTACCTATTTTCAGAGGTCATTCTCAGTACTTTTGGTGGCCTAAAATGCCAGTTAAAGGTATCACAGAAAAGGGAATTTCCTACATTATTCAAAACTGTGAAGTGTTTCTGTGTGTGTGTGATGTATTTTGAATTTTATTGGACTTCAAAGTGGGGGTTGAAGAGGAGGGACATATATGTCCCTCTGGCATCCAGGGGGTTATTTGATCTTTTTTGTTTTTAAAATTTCGCTCGCGAATACTTCGCGGATGATCACTAGCAGTTCTATGCATGGGAACGTTCAATGCTTTCATGAAACAAAGTCTGAGAAAACCAAAACGGCAACATCGCCAGCTCAAAAAACTACAAAACACAATCGAAATGTTATTGAAACTAAACAAATCTGTTCGAGTTGGGCTACTATGCATTGATTAAAACAAAGAAATAAGGGTGTATTGAGACGAAATGTCCGAACCAATGAGACCTAGATACCTTTATCGTACTGGTTCATATTAGCGTAGGTAGACATGATCCCAATACAACGTAGACAAGTGATGAATACTGAGTGTGACAAGTTCAGTGACAGCAATGGCGATGACCGTTTAGATCAAGAGTGAATCGTCGTCAAGGCAACGTCATGAATCTCGCGAGAAAGTAGTAGAATCTCGTAGCCGTCCAGATGAAACCCTCTCAACCCTCTGAGCAGATGGAGATATCAAACCTGACACATGTCGCATTTCTGTACGAACACCAGCATTTATTACTCAAAATAAACTTTATACGACCCCCTTGTCAAAGGGGGGCTACTCTAATCCTGTGAGATCGCCGAATGAAGTTACGCCCCCTCGATGTTTCGCAAATGTTGAAAGAGTTTCGACCCCTCCCCTTTAAAAATGCTGGATCCACCCTTGGAATACAGGAACTACATAAATAAAATTAGTACTTAAAATTTTAGGTAATACTGTCAGGAAATGAGATTCTGAATGGTGGGATAATACTTTTCTGGGCACTACGACTATCACGTTACACCTGTGGAACGATTCTTCGAGCGATACGATGGTATCAGTAGTTATACGTATCGATACAACACAAGTGCCAAATTCGCCGTATTATACGTCCTGCTCCAGTTAGTAAATCTGTAAATAATCTTTGTAAGCGCACCCTACTAAGACCGAAAAGGTAATAACAGTCTGTATTTCATGAGTATATTAGATATATTTACAGAACATGGAATCTTAGAAGGGCTATATAATTACTTGGTTTTGAACTATTATAGATACATTTTTAAGGTTTAATGACGTTTGAACTAAGATTTTTTCAAAGCCGCTCTATCCCTGAATATAAATTTAACTCGTTTTTATGGTTTTAATAAGCGTCCCACTTTGTCAAATTGCCGGCCAAGTGCTCTTATTAAGGCGAATACGGCCATTATATGGTGGACATGTCAAATGGTATGAACATAAAGTATAAAATGTTATTTTCTGCTTGTAAGTAGAAGCGTCTCAAACGACGTTCTTAATTAATTGTCTCAAATTGACTGAGTATGTTTCAGTTGGTCTATAATTCATTTAATATTTCTTTAACATGTCAAGTGTCGAATTTACATGTATGGTGTTGTGTCACATATCGCGACTTTACAATTTGACTTTACACGCTAGGTGTCCTGAATAAATGTGTTGTTATCTAAGAGAGAAACAAATACACCACCCGAAATAATAACCGAAACATTACCTTTGTCTCCAACAGTCCGAGGCTTCCATTACCGTCTACCTTGGGCCTAGGCGAGCTTATGAAAAATGAACAAAGGTTAATTTGATAGATAAACAGATTTAATTAGCGCAAGCACAAAACCAGAAGAGCCAAATATATTGTCCAAAAAATGTCTAAAATATAAAGAGCACTGTGATCTAAATAAGACAATGTCACAAGATGTCACTGATTCAAGCGTCCATCTTGCGAGCACGGAACACACTCCTGAAGAAGCCGGTCACACGAGATCTGATGGTTCTCCCAGTGGACTGGGGCTGTGTGACTTCCTCGTGGAGGTCAATCTCTTCGAAGTGGGAGGCATCAGGGAGGGTGGGGCTGGTGAGGGACACGGAGGTGGACACGGGGGTAGGGGTGTGGGAGGCGGGCAGTTCAGACAGGGGGTCAAGGATGGTGAAGTATCGGCACGTAGCACGCTGATAGGAAGGTGGAAAGTATTTATAGACAGAGATAGAAAGTGGTGGACGTGTATGTTACAAGCAGCATTGGATGAGTGTTATGCTGTTAGAGAAATGTGAGAGGAAGACACAATGAACAGAACTGCCTGGTGTCACTAGCTATCGATAGTACTTATTACGTATGTCAAGAATACAAATCTCAGGCAAACATTGTGTTAAAAATACATGCACTTAGATGAAATAAAATAGTCAACAAACATGATGTTATTATTCCCGATTTAACCTACTTGGCGGGGAGGGGCCCAGATATCAAAGTTCAGGGGGAATCTGATGATCAGATCTACAGGTGCAACAGCAAAGAAGAAAGACATATAAAAAAGTTGTTTTTTTAAATATCCTAAATTTAGCTTTCAAAACATGCTGTAAATAACGCCGTGAGTGGTGATTTAGTAATGTGTAAAAAATGGCGACATTTACGATTTACCTAATTTTCAGAGGTCATTTTTAGTACTTTTGCTTGGCCTAAAATGCCAGTGAAAGGTATCACAGAATTCCTACATTATGTGTAGGATATGGTCCGAAAAGTCACGAATATTTTTGCACGTGGGGTCAGTTCGAGGCCGTCAGGCCGAGAACTTGCCCCACGTGCAAAAATAATCGTGACTTTGAGGACTATATCCTACTTAAAACAAAGTCCCATTCAAAATACATGTTAAACTAATGTCCACCCAATATGCACGTGCATATATAATGGAGGGTCGTTCTTGTTTATGCTGAATCGATTGAAACTGCGCGCATGAACGCGCTAAAGTTCGAGCAAAACTATTGGAGGTCTCGTCTAATATGAGCGTGGAAAAGCACGTGCGATTTCTCATTTAGCTTTCAGTCTTTGTACGTGATGAACATTCATTACACGAGCTCGAACCAGGCAGCAATTAACTCAGATTTTGAAAGACTCATTTATGCTCATATTGAAATACTTGACGTGGCTGTACCAGATTTTGATGTGGGTAAAAGTGATATCTTGGAATCAGATGAGTTGTCTGGAAATGATACAGATTTGGTGGAACTCTCTCAACACGTAGAAGCAAGTATTCCCCAGGCCATACAAATTCCCGTTGCAACTCATAACATTGATGACGCAGATAGTATTTGGAATTCCTAACCGTTTAGCAAGCCTGTGTCAGAGCAAGATCTTCAAAGTCTAAATTGTAATTCGGCTTTTTCTCAGAACACAGAAAACAAGAGTAGATAGGCCGTCGACGTCTTCCAAGCGCGGGTCAAGGAAAGACAATCCCATGGGTTACGTGATGACGTCGTGTTAAACCCCGACAGTATTGCTCTTTCGCATCGTGAAACAGATATTAATAAAAAATCTCATGCGTTTCTTGGTGGAAGTACGAAACCTAAACGGCGAAAAATATCGGGGAAATACGTTATATGAACTGATCGCGATCGCCTCATCGCAATACTATCGCCGAAGATATCCAGATTAACGTTAACGAGTCTCCTTATTTCAAGGGGATGAGAAACGTCTTGGATGCTCGAAAGAAGTCATTAGCTAAGCAGGGTATTGGCATTTAGAAAAGACAGGCAAATGTTGTTTCTGTCAGAAATCATGGTAGTTTTATAGTGTTAACACAAATACAGGACTGTTCCTGTATTTGGGGTTTAGTGCCCTTTTGGGATCTGCCGCCTCTGGTCCTGCTATCTCAACTTCGAAAACGTTGACATCCACTGCCTCTACATCGGCTGAGGCAACGTTGACAGCTACAGCGGTGACCTGTGAAGATCCGGGGTAGTATAGGTCTTCAGCAACCAATGCTTGCTGTACAAGGCGACTATGCTTGCTGTAAAAGGCGACTATGCTTGTCGTAAAAGGCGGCTAACGGGATCGAGTTGTCAGGATATCAATCACTGGATCGTCTGGTCTAGACTCGATTATTTTCAGACCGCCGTCATATAGCTGGAATATTGCTGAGTGCGGCGTAAAACAACAAACCAACCAACCAACCTACAGCGGTTCTGGATGAAACATCAACTCTCGCAGTAACTGAATCAACTACAGCCGAGAGTGCAGCACAAAAATCAATGAAACTCGTATTACCAGATTAGGCAACTTTGCCGTCGTCTTTCTGAAATAAATTTATTTCTAATTTGTCTCAGTTTCATTTGCCTCAGATGTCGGAAATCATGGTAGTTTTATAGTGTTAACACATATACAGGACGCTTCTTGTTTTCGGAGTCAAGCGCCCTTTTTAAATACAGAATTTCAGTTATATCACGACGGCATATTACATTTCAGAAGAAAAGCCTGCAAAACCAGGTTATGTGTTGCAGGGTAACGTGCGAACGTCGACTGGTACATGCAAACCAATCGGGAGCGTAGTTCCTTAACTGATTGAGCGGGTGCGTTTCTACGTTTTGTCTATCAAAGATCACAAACACGGTTCGACTGACATGATTGGGTAATGGAGTTCAGAACTATTGGAGGTTGAACATTAGTTGATAACTATTGGAGGGTGAACATAAGTTGATAACTATCAGAGGGTGAACATTAGTTGTTAACTATTGGAGAGTTTATCTGCAATACACCGACTACTGGAGGATTACAGTATGAATGTGCATGACCAAGTTCACACAAACATCCATGCGACTTTGTTTTAATCAAAACTATGAAGTGTTTCTGTGTGTGCGATGTATTTTGAATTTTATTCGACTTCAAAGTGGGGGTTGAAGAAGAGGGACATATATGTCCCTCTGGCATCCAGGGGGTTATTTGATTTTTTTTGTTTTCAAAATTTCGCTCGCGAATACTTCGCGGATGATCACTAGCAGTTCTATGCATGGGAACGTTCAATGCTTTCATGAAACAAAGTCTGAGAAAACCAAAACGGCAACAGATCCAGCTCAAAAAACTACAAAACACAATCGAAATGTTATTGAAACTAAACAAATCTGTTCGAATTGGGCTACTATGCATTGATTAAAACAAAGAAATAAGGGTGTAATGAGACGAAATGTCCGAACCAATGAGACCTAGATACCTTTATCGTACTGGTTCATATTAGCGTAGGTAGACATGATCCCAATACAACGTAGACAAGTGATGAATACTGAGTGTGACAAGTTCAGTGACAGCAATGGCGATGACCGTTTAGATCAAGAGTGAATCGTCGTCAAGGCGACGTCATGAATCTCGCGAGAAAGTAGTAGAATCTCGTAGCCGTCCAGATGAAACCCTCTCAACCCTCTGAGCAGATGGAGATATCAAACCTGACACATGTCGCATTTATGTACGAACACCAGCATTTATTACTCAAAATAAACTTTATACGACCCCCTTGTCAAAGGGGGGCTACTCTAATCCTGTGAGATCGCCGAATGAAGTTACGCCCCCTCGATGTTTCGCAAATGTTGAAAGAGTTTCGACCTCTCTAAAAAATGCTGGATCCACCCTTGGAATACAGGAACTACATAAATAAAATTAGTACTTAAAATTTTAGGTAATACTGTCAGGAAATGAGATTCTGAATGGTGGGATAATACTTTTCTGGGCACTACGACTATCACGTTACACCTGTGGAACGATTCTTCGAGCGATACGATGGTATCAGTAGTTATACGTATCGATACAACACAAGTGCCAAATTCGCCATATTATACGTCCTGCTCCAGTTAGTAAATCTGTAAATAATCTTTGCAAGCGCACCCTACTAAGACCGAAAAGGTAATAACAGTCTGTATTTCATGAGTATATTAGATATATTTACAGAACACGGAATCTTAGAAGGGCTATATAATTATTTGGTTTTGAACTATTATAGAAACATTTTTAAGGTTTAATGACGTTTGAGCTAAGATTTTTTCAAAGCCGCTCTATCCCTGAATATAAATTTAACTCGTTTTTATGGTTTTAATAAGCGTCCCACTTTGTCAAATTGCGGGCCAAGTGCTCTTATTAAGGCGAATACGACCAATATATGATGGACATGTCAAATGGTGTGAACATAAAGTATAAAATGTTATTTTCTGCTTGTAAGTAGAAGCGTCTCAAACGACGTTCTTAATTAATTGTCTCAAATCGACTGAGTATGTTTCAGTTGGTCTATAATTCATTTAATATTTCTTGTGTCGAATTTACATGTATGGTGTTGTGTCTTATATCGCGACTTTACAATTTGACTTAACACGCTAGGTGTCCTGAATCAATGTGTTGTTATCTGAGAGAGAAACAAATACACCTTCCGAAACAATAACCGAAACATTACCTTTGTCTCCAACAGTCCGAGGCTTCCATTACCGTCTACCTTGGGCCTAGGCGAGCTTATGAAAAATGAACAAAGGTTTAATTTGAAAGATAAACAGATTTAATTAGCGCTCAAACAAAACCAGAAGAGCCAAATATATTGTCCAAAAATGTCTAAAATGTAAAGAGCACTGTGATCTAAATAAGACAATGTCACAAGATGTCACTGATTCAAGCGTCCATCTTGCGAGCACGGAACACACCCCTGAAGAAGCCGGTCACACGAGATCTGATGGTTCTCACAGTGGACTGGGGCTGTGTGACTTCCTCGTGGAGGTCAATCTCTTCGAAGTGGGAGGCATCAGGGAGGGTGGGGCTGGTGAGGGACACGGAGGTGGACACGGGGGTAGGGGTGTGGGAGGCGGGCAGTTCAGACAGGGGGTCAAGGATGGTGAAGTATCGGCACGTAGCACGCTGATAGGAAGGTGGAGAAGAATTTATAGACAGAGATAGAAAGAGGTGGACGTGTATGTTACAAGCAGCATTGGATGTGTGTTATGCTGTTAGAGAAATATGAGAGGAAGACACAATGAACAGAAGTGCCTGGTGGCACTAGCTATCGATAGTACTTATTACATATGTCAAGAATACAAATCTCAGGCAAAAGTTGTGTTAAAAATACATGCACTTAGATGAAATAAAATAGTCAACAAACATGATGTTATTATTCCCGATTCAACCTACTTGGCGGGGAGGGGCCCAGATATCAAAGTTCAGGGGGAATCTGATGATCAGATCTACAGGTGCAACAGCAAAGAAGAAAGACATATAAAAAAGTTGGTTTTTTTAATATCCTAAATTTAGCTTTCAAAACATGCTGTAAATAACGCCGTGAGTGGTGATTTAGTAATGTGTAAAAAATGGCGACATTTACGATGTACCTAATTTTCAGGTCATTTTTAGTACTTTTGCTTGGCCTAAAATGCGAGTGAACGTTATCACAGAAAAGGGAATTTCCTACATTATTCAAAACTGTGAAGTGTTTCTGTGTGTGTGATGTATTTTGAATTTTATTCGACTTCAAAGTTGGGGTTGAAGAGGAGGGACATATATGTCCCTCTGGCATCCAGGGGGTTATTTGATCTTTTTTGTTTTCAAAATTTCGCTCGCGAATACTTCGCGGATGATCACTAGCAATTCTATGCATGGGAACGTTCAATGCTTTCATGCAACAAAGTCTGAGAAAACCAAAACGGCAACATCGCCAGCTCAAAAAACTACAAAACACAATCGAACTGTTATTGAAATTAAACATATCTGTTCGAGTTGGGCTCCTATGCATCGATTAAAACAAAGAAATAAGGGTGTAATGAGACGAAATGTCCGAACCAATGAGACCTAGATACCTTTATCGTACTGGTTCATATTAGCGTAGGTAGACATGATCCCAATACAACGTAGACAAGTGATGAATACTGAGTGTGACAAGTTCAGTGACAGCAATGGCGATGACCGTTTAGATCAAGAGTGAATCGTCGTCAAGGCAACGTCATGAATCTCGCGAGAAAGTAGTAGAATCTCGTAGCCGTCCAGATGAAACACTCTCAACCCTCTGAGCAGATGGAGATATCAAACCTGACACATGTCGCATTTATGTACGAACACCAGCATTTATTACTCAAAATAAACTTTATACGACCCCCTTGTCAAAGGGGGGCTACTCTAATCCTGTGAGATCGCCAAATGGAGTTACGCCCCCTCGATGTTTTCGCAAATGTTGAAAGAGTTTCGTTGAAAGTCATTGAAATCGAATAGGTCTGTGATGCAATCATGTTACAAGGGTTTGTTCATTTCAACCTCCCGAACGGTAAGGTTGTCATGGTTTCCAGTGTGCCGGAGACACTTCATTAGAAGGAGAATGGATGACATTCAGAAATGGATCCAGTGTGGACGATACCGGGTTTTCGCCTGGTCCATAGCAGGCATGGAGACGAGCGTGGTGGTGAAATCCAACGATCTGGAGGTGGCCTTTGACATGGGTTACTCATCTAGAGAGAGCATCAGATGCAGAGATGTATTCATCAGGTAATCCGGTAGTCAACTTTAGAGCGTCAGTTACAGGGATGTATTCATCAGGTAGTCAACTTGAGAGCATCAGTTACAGGGATGTATTCATCAGGTAGTCAACTTGAGAGCATCAGGTGCAGAGATGTATTCATCAGGTAGTCAACTTGAGAGCATCAGGTGCAGAGATGTATTCATCAGGTAATCACCTTGGAAGTGACAGTTACAGGGATCTGTTAATCCGGTAGTCAAATTGAGAGCATCAGTTACAGGGATGTATTCATCAGGTACTCAAATTGAGAGTGTCAGTTACAGGGATGTATTCATCAGGTAGTCAACTTGAGAGCCAACTTCAGTTACAGGGATGTATTCATCAAGTAGTCAAATTGAGAGCATCAGTTACAGGGATGTATTAATTCGGTAGTCAAATTGAGAGCATCAGTTACAGGGATGTATTCATCAGGTATTTAGCTTGTTGAGAGCTTCAGTTACAGGGATGTATTAATCCGGAAGTCAACTTGAGAGCATCAGTTTCAGGGATGTATTCATCAGGTAATTAGCTTGTTGAGAGCGTCAGTTTACAGGGATGTATTCATCCGGTAGTCAGCTTGAGAGCATCAGTTTCAGGGATGTATTCATCAGGTAATTAGCTTGTTGAGAGCGTCAGTTACAGGGATGTATTAATCCGGAAGTCAACTTGAGAGCATCAGTTTCAGGGATGTATTCATCAGGTAATTAGCTTGTTGAGAGCGTCAGTTTACAGGGATGTATTCATCCGGTAGTCAACTTGAGAGAGTTATTATTGGTAGTTTGCAAGTGACCATGTGAGTTTGATTTAATTGATTTCCGTACCATGGTAAAATAAAAATAAGGTGCCGTTTTTGCCAGGCAATAGTAGCTGTTTTCCCTTTTGGCAAGGAGACGTTTTCGCAAATCGGTGTCATTTTCACTTGGTGATGTTATGCTGAGATGCTGTATTAGCTGTAAGCCAGATATAATACCCTACACTAATGAGGATGTCATAACTGACCCGGGGATGTTTGTGTTCAGCCACGGCCACATGGACCACATCGCGGCATTGCCTCACCACGCCGCCAAGCGAAGTCTGTTCAGTCTTCCCCGCCCTAACTACTACGTCCCCGCACATCTCCCCGACCTCATCCAATCTGTTGCCCAGGGATACAAGAGTATAGATGAGACGACCACAGCACTGACCAACATGAGCATTGTGCCGCTCGGTCCAGATGATGTCGCCAAGGTGAGAGTGTTCTACTGAAACCTATGGTTATATTACTTATATTTCTTTCCATATTATAACTGTATGTCTACGTGTAACTGTTATATTTGAAATAACACTTTCTTAATAAAGTACAGATTCGTGTACTTTTTTGGCATGAGTCCCGTCCAGGATTCGAACCCACACTGCCAGAGTGAGGCACCTAATCGCCAGCACACAAAGTCAGCGATCTAACCCACTCAGCCACCGAGGCTTCCACAAAAATGAAGTCTGACAACTGGTAGTCTAGATAACATACTTTGTGTACCCCTCTGACAAGTGTAAATTGGCATAGCCAAAAGCTATGAACACACAATGCCATTTAGAAAGTGGTCAAATGTAACAAATGTTATATTTGGGATAACACTTTCTTAGTAAAGTACAGATTCTCGTACTTTTCCTATATGTCTACATGTCTATATACTGGTGGGAAACAGTTCCTGTATGTCTACATGTCTATATACTAGTGGGATCAGTTCCTGTATGTCTACATGTCCATATACTGGTGGGAAACAGTTCCTGTATGTCTACATGTCTCTATACTAGTGGGATCAGTTCCTGTGTGCCATCATAACTCAAAGTAAATTAAAATTACCATGGATTTTTCAGATTCATGCATGATAATCACATGTACAAACACTTTGTTTTGATTACTATGATTACCCGGTGGTTGTCATGGTTATTGTGATTATCAAGAACCATGAATTAAGCCATGACATGACAAAGGCACGGTACAGACATCAGAAACTAGATTGATACCTGTCATAGATGCCAGAATTTGATCAGGAGCCATCTTTGTTTCTTTTTTATGTTAATCCTGATAATCACTTTATCAGTTAATCCTAACCAGGGATTTACAAAAACTAGACCTGCTCAGAGGCCGATACTTTGCCACACATCTGCAGCAATTGTCAGTTGGGCTGGCTATCGATGCAGATCATAGAGATCGATAACTGTTAACTAAATATCGATCAATTATTGATTAATATCAGAGAAGTAACTTTAAGCAAATATGCTAAAAAGTCTGAACGAAATCAAGACACTTCATGCCACTGATAAGTGGTGACACATTTATGACATTTGTAGACAAAAATGGGGGGCACGGGTGGCCCAGTCGTCTAAGGCGCCGTGATTCGCTGTGCAGAGTTGTGTCCCTTGGGCATGCCAGAAACCTATGATTGTGGGTTTGTATCCCGGTTCGCCCCAATTATGTTTCTAGGTTTGTCAGCACCATACCCGTGCTCGTTGGTTTCACCGAAGTGGTCAACGTCTGAGACATGCAACACTTCGGGCTTTCCTCCCACATTAAGCTGACACGCCGTGATATAACTGGAATACTGTTAAAAGAGGCGTTAAACCCAACTCACTCACTCACTAAAACAAAAAGAGTTGCTTTCCATCTCTGTCAATTGACATGATTGACAATAACAAGTCTGTTTAGGTAAGTTTAAATTTTATTTCGTCACAATTGTTCTTGTAAGATATTATCAATGACACAATTTTCATATTGATTATCGTTGATATTTCTTCTCATGGACGATACCGGTAATGCCAATTATCGATCTTTTTAGCCAGCCCTAATTCTCAGTAAAAAATTCCAGATGGGAATTAAAAAGTTTCCATTTCTTTTAGATTTAGTTGTAACAAATATGACGGTTTGGTCGGGGTGACTTGTAGTCCACTGGTAACAGGACCAAACACATGGCGGAGACTTAAATTGACATTATTGCATTGAATACAATGTTGCAATGCAATGTTAAATTACCTCTGAAAATCAGAAAAACTGAATTTTCAAAGACTTTAAATTTTGAACAAAATAATACTTTTTCTCAATTTTCCTGCCAAGGGCTCTTAGTTTGGATAATCTATGCCCTACCATTTCCCCTACAGCTGCCTAAAGGGTACACTGTGAAGTCGTTCCCCACGGTCCACCGCATCCCTAGCCAGGGCTACATCGTGTACAAGACGAGCCAGCAGCTGAAGCCAGAGTTCCAGGACCAGCCCGGCACCGACCTGGGCGCCCTACACCGGAGTGGTGTCCAGATACACGACACCATTACCACACCAGAGATAGCCTACCTGGGTGAGACAGTTCACTTCTACTATGCTGCACAGTTGTGTCCCTTTGTTTGCCAGGATCTGCTGATAGGGTTCGAATCCTATTTTGAGCCTTGGTCTGCACCAGTGTCGCTATCATTCCTCTGTGAACTGCCCCATTTTTGGGTACCACCCACATTAATTGATTGTTTGTTGTTTAACACCGCACTCAACAATATTTCAGCTATATGATGGCGGTCTGTAAATAATCAATTTTGGACCAGACAAACCAGTGATTGACACCATGAATATAGATCTATGCAACTGGGATACAATGAAACACATCAACCAAGTCAGCAAGCCTGACTACCCGATCCCTCGTAGGGCAAGCTTGGGTTGCTAAAGACCAATTCTAACCTGCACTGGTTCCACTTTAATTAAATGGTCCTTCATGATAGAACTGAAATACTGTTTCAGGTGAGGTGAAATGTGGTTTAACATCGCGTTCAAGGTTATTGTATTTACAGGGGTTTACCTTGAATTACAAAACTGTAAAATGTTTTTCTGCGTCCGTTCTATACATTTGTGTGTTGTGGAAAGCCCTGATTTATAAAGCAACATGCATGCATGTGTGTTTGTATGTGTGTATGTGTCTGCTTGTACTAGTCCGGACTAATACCACATGTGACAGTGAAGCTGTAGCGAGAATTAAGCTGTAAACATTTCAGTGTATAGTCTGGAAGGTAATTTAAGGTACCTACATTTACTACAATATTTGAAAAACTATTGGACCTACTCCAGTCAAAGTTGGTATGAGATTATTAAACAGTCATACATAACTGGATATTACATTTAAAGACAATCGGTGCATGAATAAAAAATCTCTATTTAGCTATCACTATATTTCATCAACAACCAGACCTGTTCGTCACGGGTGGAACGAGCATGCATTAAAACAGCCATCTACTTAATGCTACCCCTGCGTCACAGGGCCATATGACACAGTTGAACCAATCAACTCAACTCGAAAGGGTGCACGGGAATCACGCACATTGAGACGCCCAACGCTAACACCGTATTCGTGCGTGCGTGATTCCCATGCAACCTTTGTATGACTGTTTTATAATCTCATACCAACTTTGACTGGAGTAGGTCCGATAGTTTTTCAGATATTGTAGTAAACGTCGGTACCTTAAATTACCTTCCAGACTTTAGCACCAATGTAAGCTAGTCGTGAGTGAGATTATCAGGATGCTCATTCAATCTTCTTGACTCATATTCTCTCTTTCAGGTGACACGACCTTCGAAGTGTTTCTTTCACCTCCAACCCCTGACCTGTTGAAGGTCAAGGTCATAATAACAGAGGCCACATACATTGAAGAGACGGCTGGCAAGGATTATGTTGAACAGGCTCGGAAACGGGGCCACACGCATTTGTCCGAAATTGTGTCCAACTCGCATTTATTTGATGAGGTGGATAGTGTTGTGATCATGCATTTGTCAGACAAATACTCCGTTGACTTTATCAAGGACAGGTGTACCGAAATGATTCCGCTGCCATTTAGGAGAAAAGTCAGAATTGCGACTCTAGCAAAGGAGAAGACGTCATGATGATATTTTTGAATATTGAGTCGTTTCCTACAACTGCCATTGTGTCATTGTCATCACAGAGCTGCGTATTTGCATAAATACGCATTAAATACACTGACATACACAGACAAATCAAATCCTATCATATCAAATATGCAAAAAAAACTATAAATAAGCTATTGAAATAAAATTAATGCGTATATTACAACTGTTAGATAAAACATTTGCGTATATTACAACTGTTAGATAAAATAATTGTGTATCAGGCGATCGCCAAATTCACTTACCGACAGTTACATTCGGAAAAGCAGACAGGTATATAGTTATTAAATGATTTACAGAGATTGTTACGCAACAGGTTTTCAACTTAAAATACCAAGATGTCAAGAACCAGGTGGGTAAAAAAAAATTGAATACCCAATCCAAATCAAACTCCTGGGTAAAATACACAAATAACCAAAAAATTATCTATAGCTCTGTCATCATGTCATGTCATTGTAGGTGTCATGACGTCAGTGTCATTGTGTCGGTGTCACTGTCAGTGTGTCGGCAGAGATCTGTCCATGAATCAGTGTGCAATGTTCACAGCAAACCCACACAGATAAGTCTTATAGCATGTAAATGAAAATATTTCACAAAACTAGGTGTCAGGTTTCAAATGATACACAAACATGTTGAGAGGTGTGAGGTGAAATTGGGTTTAACGTTGCGTCCAAGATTATTGCACTTACATAGCGACGTGCATGTACGTGTATGTGTTTGTGTGGCTGCTTGTACTAGTCCGGACTGATGCCGATTTATAGTGCTAGCTCACTGAGATACCATGCCGCAGTTTAACATGAATACCCCACTCAGACACAGTATACTGACTCCGAGCCGACCAGTCCTTGATTTAGCCCCTTAATGCCGAGCGCCAGACAGGGTAACAACAAGTACCATCTTTTAACGTTTTTTGGTATGACGCGGCCCTGGACCTTCCGCTCTCCGGGCGGACGCTCTACCACTAGACCACGGAGGTGGTTACATGTTGAGAGATTCTGCTCATCTCCCAACAACACAAATACTACTGCATTCATATTGTCATCATATATTCGCAAGTGACCACTCTCTTGGACTCACAGAGTAAATCCCGATTCCTTTCACATCTCCATCTCTAGGTACAGCAAGGCTTGTTACATGAAGAGGTTCTGAAAAACTGGACCCGTGAAGATCCGTGTAGAGAATAGGTCTTCAGCAACCCATGCTTGCCATAAAAGGCGACTATGCTTGTCGTAAGAGGCGACTAACGGGTTCAGGTGGTCAGACTCAAGTGATTTGTGATGGAGAAATCCTGAGGATCTGTTATTTCTTCTTACAGAATCAAGTTTCTGTCTTACCATATACGACGTAATAAGCGGTTTATGCTGACAGCCTGAAATGATATAAAAGAAGAATCTGTGTGTATTATACACGATAGATATATTTTCGAGCATTTAATTGCCTATAATTAAGGGTGCACATAACACACGAGTGCGTATTATACACAAATAAATAAGTCTTGTGTACATTGATCAATCGGAAAGGGTGCTAATTGGGATTGTTCACTAGACAATATATTAGCAAATATCACCATGGGCGCTTATTAGAGGGGGGCGCTTATTACGTCGAATACGGTAAACCATGTTATGGTTGATGGTTCTCTGTAGATTTGAATGATAACTTATAGTTGCATCAGTTTTACTTGTTAAAATGCACGTTCAGAATTTCATGTGAATTCTGGTTCAGAACCAACGACAAGAACAATGACGTCATCGTCATGGTTTAAGTGTGATCACTTACATTTTACATGTTCTATATGTTTGTAGAAAACATATTTGAAAATGTATTTAAACTTATGGATGGGAAGATATTCATTAGGTCACCATCTTAGATCTTTGAAAGAAATACAACCCTAATTAAAACTTCACTTGTGATTTGATAGGATATATTTAGAGAGCTATTCACATAAGGTACTTTACAGGCATAAGGAGTCTTATATTGTTATTGTTAAAAAACACCAGATACTTAAATACTTTATGTTTTTTTAACCTTGGCCTCAATTTTTTGGGCTCCATGTTATTTTATAAACTATTCATAATTATTTTTTTAAATAGAAAAGGTGTATGTGTGCCGTGAAACCCTTCTTTTGTTTACTGGTTAAATACTATCTGTACTGCAAAACCTATGTTATGTGTAGAAACACATTCTGTGTGAATCTATTTTTAGCCAGTAACCCTGCTGAGATTGCTCTGTTTATCCTTAAATAATTTTTGGTATTAGATGTCATATTGTGGGATTAGCTCATCCATTTGAAATAGCACTCCGATAAAAAATTAACTAACACTACTAGAGAGTGAGTGAGTGAGTGAACGAGTGTTGTACGTTACTTTTGGCATTATTCCAGCAATATTCTGGCAGTCTTCACAGTGTACCATGTGGGGAACTGATGACTGAACACTTAAACCACAGTTAAAGTGCCTCAGGGTGAGACCCAGTCCATGTTCTAGTTACCTCAGCTGCAGTTATTTTCATTCTTTTGAAATAAACAGTTTTTATATTCTGACAGTGCTGTGTTTTTCATACTCTGTCCAAGATTCTGATTTTGTCCTGCTTGCTGTTTCATCCCACCAGAACAGTAAATTTCACCTCATGGACAGGGATGGGAGAAGATGAAATAGTATCCATTTATTTAAGAATCTGGTTTACAAATCTGCTGACTCGAAAATATTGAAATTTGAGAAGAAGCAAGACAAAAAAAAGTCAATTCTTTTATTCCTTTGACCTGAAATCCACCACTGCCCAGTGAGATGCACCACACACCCCTGCAGTCCCTGGATCAACCACTGCCCAGTGAGATGCACCACACACCCCTGCAATCCTGGATCCACCACTGCCCAGTGAGATGCACCACACATCCCTGCAATCCCTGGATCCACCACTGCCCAGTGAGATCCACCACACACCCCTGCAATCCCTGGATCTACCACTGCCCAGTGAGATGCACCACACATCCCTTCAATCCCTGGATCTACCACTGCCCAGTGAGATGCACCACACATCCCTGCAATCCCTGGATCCAACAATGTCCAGTGAGATGCACCACACACCCCTGCAAACCCTGGATCTACCACTGCCCAGTGAGATGGACCACACACCCCTGCAATCCCTGGATCCACCACTGCCCAGTGAGATGCACCACACACCCCTGCAATCCCTGGATCCACCACTGCCCAGTGAGATGCACCACACACCCCTGCAATCCCTGGATCCACCACTACCCAGTGAGATGCACCACATATCCCTGCAATCCCTGGATCCACCACTGCCCAGTGAGATGCACCACACAACCCTGCAATCCCTGGATCCACCACTACCCAGTGAGATGCACCACACACCCCTGCAATCCCTGGATCCACCACTGCCCAGTGAGATGCACCACACACCCCTGCAATCCCTGGATCCACCACTACCCAGTGAGATGCACCACATATCCCTGCAATCCCTGGATCCACCACTGCCCAGTGAGATGCACCACACAACCCTGCAAACCCTGGATCTACCACTGCCCAGTGAGATGCACCACACACCCCTGCAATCCCTGGATCCACCACTGCCCAGTGAGATGCACCACACACCCCTGCAATCCCTGGATCCACCACTGCCCAGTGAGATGCACCACACACCCCTGCAATCCCTGGATCCACCACTGCCCAGTGAGATGCACCACACATCCCTTCAATCCCTGGATCCACCACTGCCCAGTGAGATGCACCACACACCCCTCCAGTCCCTTGATCCACCACTGCCCAGTCAGATGCACCACACACCTCTGCAATCCCTGGATCCACCACTGCCCAGTCAGATGCACCACACAACCCTGCAATCCCTGGATCCACCACTGCCCAGTGAGATGCACCACACGCACCTGCAATCCCTGGATCAACCACTGCCCAGTGAGATGCACCACACACAACTGCAGTCCCTTGATCTACCACTGCCCAGTGAGATGCACCACACGCACCTGCAATCCCTGGATCAACCACTGCCCAGTGAGATGCACCACACATCCCTTCAATCCCTGGATCCACCACTGCCCAGTGAGATGCACCACACGCACCTGCAATCCTGGATCTACCACTGCCCAGTGAGATGCACCACACGCACCTGCAATCCCTGGATCTACCACTGCCCAGTGAGATGCACCACACATCCCTTCAATTCCTGGATCCACCACTGCCCAGTGAGATGCACCACACACCCCTCCAGTCCCTTGATCCACCACTGCCCAGTCAGATGCACCACACACCTCTGCAATCCCTGGATCCACCACTGCCCAGTGAGATGCACCACACAACCCTGCAGTCCCTGGATCCACCACTGCCCAGTGAGATGCACCACACACCACTGCAGTCCCTGGATCTACCACTGCCCAGTGAGATGCACCACACATCCCTTCAATCCCTGGATCCACCACTGCCCAGTGAGATGCACCACACACAACTGCAATCCCTGGATCCACCACTGCCCAGTGAGATGCACCACACACCCCAGCAATCCCTGGATCCACCACTACCCAGTGAGATGCACCACACACCCCAGCAATCCCTGGATCCACCACTGCCCAGTGAGATGCACCACACAACCCTGCAATCCCTGGATCTATCCCTGCCATCCCTGGATCAACCAAGGCCATCCCTTTTTGTTTTTGATAAAACAATCTTTTGTTCTGAAGTAAATTAGATTCTATAAATTTTATGGATGATTTCCGCTTCACACACAAATACAAATACATGTACAAAGAAGCTCGAAATTAATATTCCGAACACCAAACCTTTCAGCAACACAAGGGAGCTAACTCATCTGACCTTATTTTAGCTGGTGACTCTGAAACGGGAAATGCATGCCACAGGGCAACGATAACCTTCTTGTTATTTCTGGCATAATTAATATGCCATTTATCATATGTCAGCTTGACTTGTCACGGAGTCCCCAGAGAAGGAAACATTTCTACGCATGTTGTTCAGCTCGATATTCTTATAACACGTAGTTATGCGTCCTCTCTTCATGCTGTTTTGACGAGCAAAGCATTAGTATTTCCAGTTACAACATTCTCTAAAACAAACCAACATTCAAAGATTCTCACAGAAGAAGAACTTAATTCATTTTCTATATATTCAATACACATTGGTTGTATTCATATAATGTTACGATGTGTATCGGTTTCCAAAGAAATGATATTTCCAACAAATAATTATTTTGCGATTTGTGATTTAACAGAAACATCTGGTTTCAAACACATATGAATATAATCAAGATTTAATCAGATTTCTTTCATGTCGAGAGGGTGAACTACTATGGTGACGTCACTGTGGTGGGAAGGGGCTAGTGGGGTGATGTCACTTTGGTGGGAAGGGGGCTAGTCGGGTGATGTCACTGTGGTGGGAAGGTTGGTGTCACTGTGGTGGGAAGGGGGCTAGTGGGGTGATGTCACTGTGGTGGGAAGGTTGGTGTCACTGTGGTGTGAAGGAGGATAGTGGGGTGATGTTACTGTGGTGGGAAGGAGGTTAGTGGGGTGATGTCACTGTGGTGGGAAGGGGGCTAGTAGGGTGATGTCACTGTGGTGGGAAGGTTGGTGTCACTGTGGTGGGAAGGGGGCTAGTGGGGTGATGTTACTGTGGTGTGAAGGAGGTTAGTGGGGTGATGTTACTGTGGTGGGAAGGGGGCTAGTGGGGTGATGTCACTGTGTAGGAAGGGGTCTAGTGGAGTGATGTCACTGTGGTGGGAATTGGGCTAGTGGGGTGATGTCACTGTGGTGGGAAAGTTGGTGTCACTGTGGTGTGAAGGAGGATAGTGGGGTGATGTTACTGTGTAGGAAGGGGTCTAGTGGGGTGATGTCACTGTGTAGGAAGGGGGCTAGTGGGGTGATGTCACTGTGGTGGGTAGGAGGCTAGTGGGGTGATGCCACTGTGTAGGAAGGGGTCTAGTGGGGTGATGTCACTGTGGTGGGAATTGGGCTAGTGGGGTGATGTCACTGTGGTGGGAAGGTTGGTGTCACTGTGGTGGGAAGGAGGATAGTGGGGTGATGTTACTGTGGTGGGAAGGAGGTTAGTGGGGTGATGTCAGTGTGGTGGGAAGGGGGCTAGTAGGGTGATGTCACTGTGGTGGGAAGGTTGGTGTCACTGCGGTGGGAAGGGGGCTAGTGGGGTGATGTTACTGTGGTGTGAAGGAGGTTAGTGGGGTGATGTCACTGTGTAGGAAGGGATCTAGTGGGGTGATGTCACTGTGGTGGGAATTGGGCTAGTGGGGTGATGTCACTGTGGTGGGAAAGTTGGTGTCACTGTGGTGTGAAGGAGGATAGTGGGGTGAAGTCACTGTGTAGGAAGGGGTCTAGTGGGGTGATGTCACTGTTGTTGGAATTGGGCTAGTGGGATGATGTCAGTGTGGTGGGAAGGGGCCTTGTGGTGTGATGTCACTGTGGTGGGAAGGGGGCTTGTGGGTTGATGTCACTGTGGTGGGAAGGGTGATGTCAGTGTGGTGGGAAGGGGGCTTGTGGGGTGATATCAGTGTGGTGGGAAGGAGGCTAGTGGGGTGATGTCAGTGTGGTGGGAAGGGGGCTAGTGGGGTTATGGCAGTGTGGTGGGAAGGAGGCTAGTATGACGATGTCAGTGTGGTGGGAAGGAGGCTAGTTGGGTGATGTCACTGTGGTGGGAAGGAGGCTAGTAAGATGATGTCAGTGTGGTGGGAAGGGTGATGTCACTGTGGTGGGAAGGGTGATGTCACTGTGGTGGGAAGGGGGCTTGTGGGGTGATATCAGTGTGGTGGGAAGGAGGCTAGTGGGGTGATGTCAGTGTGGTGGGAAGGGGGCTAGTGGGGTTATGGCAGTGTGGTGGGAAGGAGGCTAGTATGACGATGTCAGTGTGGTGGGAAGGAGGCTAGTGGGGTGATGTCACCATGGTGGGAAGGAGGCTAGTAGGATGATGTCAGTGTGGTGGGAAGGGGGCTTGTGGTGTGATGTCACTGTGGTGGGAAGGGGCTAGTTGGGTGATGTCACTGTGGTGGGAAGGAGGCTAGTAGGATGATGTCAGTGTGGTGGGAAGGGGGCTAGTGGGATGATGTCAGTGCGGTTGGAAGGGGGCTAGTTGGGTGATGTCAGTGTGGTGGGAAGGGTGATGTCACTGTGGTGGGAAGGGGGCTATCGGGGTGATGTCACTGTGGTGGGAAGGGTGATGTCACTGTGGTGGGAAGGGTGATGTCAGTGCGGTGGGAAGGGGGCTTGTGGGGTGATGTCAGTGTGGTGGGAAGGAGGCTAGTGGGGTGATGTCACTGTGGTGGGAAGGGGGCTTGTGGGGTGATGTCACTGTGGTGGGAAGGAGGCTAGTAGGATGATGTCAGTGTGGTAGGAAGGGGCTTGTGGGGTGATGTCAGTGTGTTGGGAAGGAGGCTAGTGGGGTGATGTCACTGTGGTGGGAAGGGGCCTTGTGGTGTGATGTCACTGTGGTGGGAAGGGGGCTTGTGGGGTGATGTCACTGTGGTGGGAAGGAGGCTAGTAGGATGATGTCAGTGTGGTGGGAAGGAGGCTTGTGGGGTGATGTCAGTGTGGTGGGAACGAGGCTATTGGGGTTATGTCAGTGTAGTGGGAAGGGGGCTTGTGGGGTGATGTCACTGTGGTGGGAAGGAGGCTAGTAGGATGATGTCAGTGTGGTGGGAAGGGGCTTGTGGGGTGATGTCAGTGTGGTGGGAACGAGGCTAGTGGGGTGATGTCAGTGTGGTTGGAAGGGGGCTTGTGGGGTGATGTCAGTGTGGTGGGAACGAGGCTAGTGGGGTGATGTCACTGTGGTGGGAAGGGGGCTTGTGGGGTGATATCAGTGTGGTGGGAATGCGGCTAGTGGGGTGATGTCAGTGTGGTGGGAAGGGGGCTAGTGTGGTTATGTCAGTGTGGTGGGAAGGAGGCTAGTATGACGATGTCAGTGTGGTGGGAAGGAGGCTAGTGGGGTGATGTCACTGTGGAGGGAAGGGTGATGTCACTGGTGGGAAGGGGGCTTGTGGTGTGATGTCACTGTGGTGGGAAGGGGCTAGTTGGGTGATGTCACTGTGGTGGGAAGGAGGCTAGTAGGACGATGTCAGTGTGGTGGGAAGGAGGCTAGTGGGGTGATGTCAGTGTGGTGGGAAGGGTGATGTCACTGTGGTGGGAAGGGGGCTTGTGGTGTGATGTCACTGTGGTGGGAAGGAGGCTAGTGGGGTGATGTCAGTGTGGTGGGAAGGGGGCTAGTGGGGTTATGTCAGTGTGGTGGGAAGGAGGCTAGTATGACGATGTCAGTGTGGTGGGAAGGAGGCTAGTGGCGTGATGTCACTGTGGAGGGAAGGGTGATGTCACTGTGGTGGGAAGGGGGCTTGTGGTGTGATGTCACTGTGGTGGGAAGGGGGTTTGTGGTGTGATGTCACTGTGGTGGGAGGGAGGCTAGTTGGACGATGTCAGTGTGGTGGGAAGGAGGCTAGTAGGATGATGTCAGTGTGGTGGGAAGGGGGCTAGTAGGATAATGTCACTGTGGTGGGAAGGAGGCTAGTGGGGTGATGTCAGTGTAGTGGGAAGGGGGCTAGTGGGGTTATGTCACTGTGGTGGGAAGGAGGCTAGTATGACGATGTCAGTGTGGTGGGAAGGAGGCTAGTAGGACGATGTCAGTGTGGTGGGAAGGAGGCTAGTGGGGTGATGTCACTGTGGAGGGAAGGGTGATGTCACTGTGGTGGGAAGGGGCTAGTTGGGTGATGTCACTGTGGTGGGAAGGAGGCTAGTAGGATGATGTCAGTGTGGTGGGAAGGGGGCTAGTAGGATGATGTCAGTGTGGTGGGAAGGAGGCTAGTGGGGTGATGTCAGTGTGGTGGGAAGGGGGCTAGTGGGGTTATGTCAGTGTGGTGGGAAGGAGGCTAGTATGACGATGTCAGTGTGGTGGGAAGGAGGCTAGTAGGACGATGTCAGTGTGGTGGGAAGGAGGCTAGTGGGGTGATGTCAGTGTGGTGGGAAGGGTGATGTCACTGTGGTGGGAAGGGGGCTTGTGGTGTGATGTCACTGTGGTGGGAAGGAGGCTAGTGGGGTGATATCAGTGTGGTGGGAAGGAGGCTAGTGGGGTGATGTCAGTGTGGTGGGAAGGGGGCTAGTGGGGTTATGTCAGTGTGGTGGGAAGGAGGCTAGTATGACGATGTCAGTGTGGTGGGAAGGAGGCTAGTGGGGTGATGTCACTGTGGAGGGAAGGGTGATGTCACTGTGGTGGGAAGGGGGCTTGTGGTGTGATGTAACTGTGGTGGGAAGGGGCTAGTGGGGTGATATCACTGTGGTGGGAAGGAGGCTAGTTGGACGATGTCAGTGTGGTGGGAAGGAGGCTAGTGGGGTGATGTCACTGTGGTGGGAAGGGTGATGTCACTGTGGTGGGAAGGGGGCTAGCGGGGTGATGTCACTGTGGTGGGAAGGGGGGCTAGTGTGGTGATGTCACTGTTGTGGGAAGGGAGCTAGCAGGGTGATGTCACTGTGGTGGGAAGGGGCTAGTTGGGTGATGTCACTGTGGTGGGAAGGAGGCTAGTAGGATGATGTCAGTGTGGTGGGAAGGGGGCTAGTAGGATGATGTCACTGTGGTGGGAAGGAGGCTAGTGGGGTGATGTCAGTGTGGTGGGAAGGGGGCTAGTGGGGTTATGTCAGTGTAG